CTACTTCAATTGATCAGTGCTTAGGCAGTGTAGACTTTGAGGGGTGGGGATCACGAGATGGGACTATGGACCCCTGTTGTCCTATACACAGAGAAAATGCTGAAACTTGAAGGAACTTCAGAAAAGCATCTATGCTGTCTCCCAAAACTCATCAGCTAATTCTGGCCCTGAAAAGGGGGAACATTTCAAGGTTCCTCAGCGATACTTCTTTCTCCTTTGTTAGAACGTCTTCCCTTTTGTGTACAATGTGTGCAGAGCATTTTGGTTAAATACACAAACTTTGACTCACCCAGCCTATGCTCATAGACTACCACTTATCAGCTCTGTAACACTGAGCAAGTTACATAATTCTCTAACTCTCTCTCAACCATACCTTATGTAAAAGACAGCAAACAGGTCAAGATCTGCAGGATGGGCTGGAGCTGTGACACAGCCCATTAAACCACCGCCTGTGACACTAGCATCCCATATTGGAGCACCAGTTTGAATCCCAACTGCTCTGCTATTGGTGCAGCTCCCTGCTGATGTGCCCAGAAAAGCAATGGAAGATGGCTTAAGTGCTTGGGTTCCTGCCACCCACATAGGAGACCTCGATGGAGTTCCAGGCTACTGGCTTTGGCCTGGCCCAGCTGCGCTAATTTGGTGTGGTGGGTTAGGGTGGTGTTGGAAGATTTCTTTCTCTATCCTTCTATCTGTGTCACTCTGCCTTTTAAATAAACATTTTGTAAAGATTTAAATACACTGGTTTAAGCACTAAGTAAATGTGACCCATTGTCACAATGGTCAGTGGAGTTGAAAGGATACATAATTTTAGAAAGATGACTGCTTAAATGCAAAATGGGTTTGAGGGACCAGAGAGGGTTTGCCTAGTAGCAGGTGAACCACAGGATGGTTGTGATCTTTGAGGTAAAGTTGAGTTGACTTGGGAGCAGATTTCTTGTGGGTAGTGGTGGGATAAAGTTGTCTTTGAGTCAGTATGGTTCTCAGGAGTATCTGAGGAGAAGCTCACCATTTTAAGGACAGTCTCTGGCGTTTTCTTCTCACCATATGGGCTGTCAGGGCCAGTGGGCATGACTGGTGGGAGTGGGAACCTTCCAATTAGTACTGGGATAATAGCTAACACAACACGTCGCCATCTTTATGCCAAAGATACTCTTCCTTGCTCCAGTTATGTGCATTTAGGTACTTAATTATATCCTCAGTTGCACAACTCAGAGGCCTCTAAACTATCCAAGACAGAGCAACTGGATAATGGTGAGCGTGTACCATGATAGTGTCATATTTTCACTGCCTCCACCTACTCATTCCTCTCTGTCTCTCTCTCTCTCTCTTAACCCATGGAAACAACTAATCATTTTATTGTCTGCGTAGTTTTGGCTTGAGTATACTATGGTTGGCAATACACAGCATGAAAAAAAAAAAAAAAAAGAAATACACAGCATGTAATCTTTCCAGACTGACTTCTCATTTAACATTCCTCCATGTCCTTTCATATTTTGAGAGCTCATTTGTTTTAGTGCTATGTAATATTCCATTGTCTGGATGTATCACCACTCATTTTCTTGTCTCCCAGTTTTGACCATTATGAATAAACCCATTTCAGATACGCAGGCAGTGTGTACGGTAAGTTTTGAATTCATTTGGGTAAATACCAAGGAGTGAAATTGCTGCATCCTATGATAAGATTATGCTTAGTTCCCAACTGCACCCTGAAGGGACTGTGTTGCCTTTCTGCCAGCAGTGAAGGTACTGTTGTCCTACCCCCTCACCGGCATTTGGTGGTTAGTGTTTGGGATTGTGGCATTCCACAAGACATAGACTGATATCTTGCTTTAAATGGCTCTATGTGTGTAAGATCATAATGGTTCTCTGAGAGAGAAAGTGTACTCAGAGATGTGTTGCTCCCCCTTCCTTTCTACAGCCCATCTCCAGTTCTTGTTCCATTTTACTCCTTTCCCACCCCCTAAGGAATTAACCTCTTTGTGAATTATTTTGTCACTTTGTTTCTCACAGATTAGAGAGACAGGTACATTTTCTTATATCCAATACTTTATTAAATCAAGAGTGGTATAGATTAAGCTACACCATTCCATGGAAGCACATTACTATAGAAGCTGTCTCTGGGGCAGGCATTTCACACAATGATTCAGTCACTGCCTGAGACACACATCTCCCATACTGAATGCCTGGATCCACTCTTGCTACTCTGCTTCCAATCCAGCTTCCTACAAAACAGACAGAGGATCTTGTTCTATCTTCCTGTCTCTGCATTTCAAATAAAATTAGAATAAATAAAAATAAAACCTATTTTGGAAAACACATGGAATAACCCATGTGTCTATTATTCTTTTTCCTCTTCCTCTCTCTGGTATCTTATTTCCTTGGTGTCTGTTTTTATTTAGTTATCATTGATTACAAAAAATGTTGTGGAGCCAGCACAGTGGTGCAGCAAGCTAATCCTCTGCTCTGTGGTGCCAGCATTCCATACCAGTACTGGTTCATTCCTGATCCAACTCTACTTGTGGACTGGGAAAGCAACAGAGGATGGCCCAAGGACCCTACACCATTTGGGGTACTAGGAAGAGGTTCCTGGCTCCAAGTTTCGGATCAGCTCAGCTATGTCCATTATGGCCATTTGGGGAATGAACCAGTAGGTAGATCTCTCTCTTTCTGTCTTTCCTTCTTTCTCTGTAAAATCTGCCTTTCAAATAAAAATGAATGAATCCTTTTTTAAAAATTGTACAAATACAAGGGAACTTTAGTTTGTGGAGAAAATGGAATTACAAGTATATTTTTGTACAAAACAGTTTTTGCATATTAGTTTCATAAGGCATATTTTTCAGGGCTGACATGATGGCTCAATGGCTAAATGCTCACTGTGCACGTGCTGGGATCCCAAATGGGCACCAGTTTGTGTCCCAGCTACTCCACTTCCCATCCAGTTACCTGCAGCCTCAGATCACATCAGCTCCAGCTGTTGCAGCCATCTGGGGAGTAAACCAGTGATAAAGAGATATTTCTGTCTGCCTTTCCAGTAGTAAATCTTAAAAAAAAAAAAAAAAAAAGACTCATTTTCATAAACTGCTTGAAGACCTCTTATACCTTGAGGCTTAGGATGGTATTAATTCCTCCGTGATGAGATTTCAGTGGCTTCTGACCGTTAGGGACAGCAAAGCCAAGGACACTTTAATCCAGTGCCCAAAGCAAGGTGATGCACAGCTAAGCTACAGTCCCTGGAGGCTCAGGCTGCCGTTGCTCTGCCCTTCTACGGCACAGCCTTCTAGGGTCCCAGGACAAAAGGAACAGGTTCTGGTTTGTCCCCCAAACTTTGGGACATGTAGCTCCTAGTGTTTTGCTCATCAGTTCTTCTTAGCAGATTCTTCTGGATCCAGATTCCATGTATCTTTTTTCTGTCTCTCTAGCTCCTCAGTACATTTGAACAGGTTGTCTGTAATACTCTTTTCAGTGTTCTGTTATCTGCAGCAGAGAGAATGCCTCAATTCTGCCACAGAGAAATAGAAATTCCTTTATTGTCTTTTACACTGAAACTGCATTTTTCATTTCTGATGTTGTATTTAGTTCTTTTTCAATTTTTTTGGTTATACTTTTATGTATTTAATCTCTGTGTGTGCACACTAATAGATTAACCTTGCTATATGTCCATTAGTTTTCACTTATGCCTTATAATTTGGGGCTATGAAGTCATTTTCAGAGGACTCCCCTGGTGCAGCCTGAATAGAGGGCATGTTACAAAACTGTCAGCTTCTGGGTGGCTCCTCAGATATCACTTGGATCAGTTTTATATTAATATCTGCTATGGGTTGGACTAAATGAACACCAAAGCCATGGGAGGCACAGAACATTAATTTCAGAACCAAACTTCCCAATGCTACTGAGACTTTTTTTTAAGATTTTTTTTTTAATTGGAAAGGCAGATTTACAGAGAAAAGGAGAGATAGAAAGATCTTCCTTCTACTGGTTCACTCCCCAAGTGACCACAACAGCTGGAGCTAAGTCGATCTGAAGCAAGGAGCCTCTTCCCAGTGTCCCACGTGGGTGCAGGATCACAAGACCCTGAGCCATCCTATTGCCTTCCCAAGCCACAAGCAGGAAGCCGAAAGGGAGGTGGAGCAACTGGAACATGAGCAGGCACCTGTATGGGATCCCAGAGCCAGCTGCAAGGCAAGGATTTAGCCACGAGGCCATCATGCTGGCCTGATGAGACTTTTTAAAAATTACTTATATTTTTTTGAAATGCAAAATGAGGGGGGAGGGAAGAAAGAGATCTCATTCGATAGTTCTCCCCAAATGCCTATAGCAGTCAGGGTTGACCAGGCCAAAGCCAAGAGCCAGGAACCTCTTGTATGCCAGCCACAGGGGTGGCAAGACCATGAGCACTTGTCACCAGCTGCCATCCCAACACACACATTATCAGGAAGCTGGACCGGAAGCTTTGAGTCACATACTCTGACATGGACACAGCAGCTTCAGCCACCGCACCATGCACACACAATGAACAGATTTTTTTAAATCCAAATAGCAATTCTGAAATTATATCAGTTCTGGAACCCTGGCTTCCTGCAGGGTCTCTCAGTTCACTTTCTGCCTGTGAAGCCTTGTTTTCTGTTCAAGATGTTGAGATACAACCAGCTATTTAAGCAGACCCTGTGCTGCCCATTCCACCACCCATCTCCGCTGTCGCTGGATCGGCTCACACGTTCATGGCTGAGTTTCAGTGATCTGTGTCTGGGCCTTCCCAAGACTTCCTTTATTTTCATGCAGGCATGACAGTGCCTTCACAAGGATGTTCTTTATTTGTCATCAGCATTTCCGGCTTGCAGGCTTCCTCTATCATGACTGAAGTTAAGGTATGGTAACAGCCACTGCTATGGTGGTGCTACAGGAGAAATCTGAATGTTTTATATAAACACATGAGCAGAATTTCCCTACTGTGCAAGGTCTGGACAGTAAACAGTGTCCTTTTTCTTTGCCTCACAAAGAAATAGCCAAGGAGCATTCCAAAGGCCGATCTGCCGGTGTCCACTTCCGGCCCAGGACAGGCAACGAGGGGAGCAGGTGTCCCAGAGTGCCATCTGCCGAGAAGCCCAGGGGCGAGTCAGGCAGCGAGCAGCGGTGTGAGAAGGGGAGAGGCCTTCCAAAGCAGCCACCCTCCACCAGGCCGCCTGGTGAGAGAGGGGAGGACACCAGTCGTGCGGCTGTGAGCTGCCCGCAGCACGAAGGCCACAGGAAGCCCAGCCAGCAGCAAGACATGCCACCCAAAGCCAAAGGTGTCCCCCAAAAAAGGCACATACAAGAAGTCAGAGGTAGAAGGTGCTCCCCTGCTGGTTCCAGCCGGCCTGGCAGTGCCAGGGAGGTAGGGATGCATACCGGGCCGAATCCTCTCCATCATCGCATGCCACGAAACAGAGCTGCCCACGACAAGCCCACAGGAGACAATTCAGACCTGCCACCGAGCACAGAGGAGCTGCAGCCCCAAGCCAGGGAGCTGCGGACAGCCACCCCATCTGGAAACGTTCTGGTGTCTAAGGAGACTCAACCTGCAGCTCTGGCCGTCACTGCGCAGAGTGTGAACATTGACCTTCTGCCCGTAGAGCTCCGGCTGCAGATAATCCAGAGAGAAAGGAATCGGAAGGAGCTGTTTCGCAGGAAGAACAAGGCAGCCACGGTCATCCAGCGTGCCTGGCGAAGGTAGGGAAGTGGCATCTGCTCCCAGTGCCCTTCGGTGTCTCCCATGAACTCTCGGGGGGCACATGTGAGGCCAAGGCTATGGCCAAGGCTATGTGAAATTCTCAAGTGTGCAGGTCCTTGCAATTTAGATTGTACAAACTGTTTGGAACGTGTTTTTGCCCAGAAAGATAGGAAACTACCCCCAAATAGCACAGTGTAAAGAGAAAACAAAGCGCACTCTTGCGTAAGAGCCTGTGTGTTCGGGGGAAATGCTCCTACCCATCTGACTTGGGAGAATCACTTGGCCTTCCTCATGCTTGGTTTCCCCATCAGTAGAAGAGGATGTCACGTCATCCTGCTCAAGTGAGCTAACGTGTTTAGTAAACTCAGAAACCCTGCACACATGAGATACTTTGTTTTTGTGACTTCACTACCCATTCTTCTTCAGATATCTGAATCAGGACCTGGGCATGTCTGAGCTCCATGTCTAGGGTGAGCAGAGAGCTGGAGACAGGTGAGGGAACTATGTGATGCCTCCCAGGGCTGGGGCCCCGACCTCTGCCTGCACAGCCTCTGAACGTGTCCCTGTGACTGCTGAAGCTCCTGGCCAGGAGGCTGCCAGACAGGCCAGTCTGTTTTATACACAAGAAATCTGCTTACAGCGGAAAAGTTGTCCCCACATTGCACTCCAACACCAGTGCAAAGGAAGGGCTCCCCTTCCGTGGCTGATAAAAGTGGCCTTTCTTGCCAAAGAGATACTGGGGCTGCGGTGGGCCTCCTGTTCTTCAGCTGAGAGTGGGGCTTGAAAAGAGCTGCCTGCATGCCCCAGGACCCCCGGAGTAGGGCAAGGCCCTCTCCTACCATGATCAGTACATAAGGCCCAAATTCACTATATGCTAGATACTGATAATCAACTTTAGCCCATGTTACCTCATTTAATCCTCCTTTGCAGGGTTAGTGAGCTGTGGGATGTTCTCCCCATTCCACAGACCAGGACACTGGAGCACAGAGGTTAAGTAGCTTACCCACATGTCAGTGGAGGCCATGCTGCCCTGAGCATGGGCCATGCCATCTGCCTCCGGGTCCACTCACGGACATTGTTGTTGCTCCCTGTCCCTGGAGACTTGGGCCAGGACACACCCTGGCTACCCCCCAGAGGAACTTTCTGTTAAGTATTTTGTCTAAAACCTGTTAGCTTAGCAAGCTGGCAAGAGTTACCTCGTCAGGTCGCATGGCTGGTCCCTCAAAATGCTCCCCCCTCCCCATCAGACTGTCTGTTGACTCCTTTGAAGAGTCAGTGCTGACAGCTCCTGTCTTCTGTCCAGCCTTGCAAATGAGCCTCTCATCATCTCCCTGGGGACAGTGGGTTCATAGTCCAGTGTGCCCATCTGGGAAGACAATTACCCAGGCCCCCCTGGGCTGCATCATCCTGCCTCAGCAACATTGCACTGCCCTTCTGCACAGCAGCCCACATCTGCTCACACAGAGCATGAGCTCAGCCTGGGAGCTCCTGCTCCTCCTTTGGAACTTGGCAGGTGTCCCAGCCTCACAGGGCCTCCCCAACCTGCCACGGGCCCACAGCCCCGCACAGGGCCTCACAGCATCCACACCTTTGCTTTTGCATGGGGTCACTCACCCTGCACCCACTCATTCACATGCTTAGTCCCCGAATTCCTCAAGGACAAGACCGAATCCTAGTTCAGAGAGGGTAGGATGGTAGAAACAGTTCACTCAAAATTGCTGCCAGGTTTAAGAACCGGAGCTTGAATGATCTCCTAGGAGTCCAGCAAACACAAGAGTCAGGGTACTTCTGATTGCTCATGGATACGGTGCTTTGACTGCAAAAATAAATAATAATAAACAACTGCAGGAAGATAAAATTTCAACCCCATGTTGCCATGAAATTTTGAAGCACTTGGATGCTATTCCAATAGCCAATAGAAGCCTCAAGAAGTTTATTCTTTTCAGTGCTGTGGTCTTAAAGTCTGTCCTCTCCAGGTACCAGGTGAGGAAGCACTTGTCCCACCTTCTGCACGTGAAGCAGCTTGAAGCCAGTGATAAGGACAGATGGAGCCAGGAGTGCGTGGCACTGCTCCTCCACGTCTGGCGAAAAGAACCAGAAGTAATGCTCCTGAAGACCACTGCTGCAAGCAAGACCCCCAAGATCCCACCCAGGGGCAACCCACGCACCAGGGCCACCAAGCACTCGGTGCTCCAGCAGATCTATGGTAATAGTGCCTTTGCCCCACCCTTTTTCTTTAAAAGGCCAGGTGATGGGGGAGACAGAGAGAAGGAGAGGTGGAGGCTGGGGGGTGGGGGATTATCCATCCAGTGAGTTATTGGCAGATGCATGCAGCAACTGGGGCTGGGTCAGGTGGAACCCAGGAGGGAATCCAGCACCTGAGCCATCAGCTGCTGCACCTCCCAGAGTGTGTCAGCAGGAAGCTGGGCCAGAAGCAGAACTCGATCCCATGACCTTCAGTATGCAATGCCAGCATCCCAAGGGGCATAGCCTGCGGCACCACAAGGCCTGCCTGCACTGACACTTTACAACAAAAACATGCAACATCACAATCTGAAATGGAATCTAATTACATTGTGTAAAGTTCCCATCAGTTTCCAAAAAAAAAAAAAAAGAAAAAAAAGAAAAAGACTTGTTCTGTGTCCAAGCGCCAAGGGAATTCTCTGCACCCCGCGTATGGGATCCCACCAGCAGTCCTGCTAACTGGTTTCCTGAGGGAGTCCACCCGAGACTTCCCTGGCCTCCACACTGCAAGGCTCCCAGTGCAGTGCACACCTCTCCAGATCCCTGCCTGGGTCTCCCCCTTCACACTGACCACTCGACTGAGGCAGCTTAGAACTGCCTGCCTCACTAGCTGTGCTTGCTTACCCATCCATGGGAAATGTCAGATAGGCAAAGGAAATACTTGCTCAACAGATGAAATACAGAAAACTGTATCTTCAGCTTTGTAAAGAGCCCACCCAAAAACCCTGGGAGGAACAAGCCTGGCTAGTTCCCCATATCCCAGAACAGACTTGAGCCAAGGCACCTTTAGAGAAGAGCTCCAGTGAGTGCAGGCCCAGCTGGTCATGGCAGACAGCTGCCAGCACACACCCGGACACAGTGAGGACTGTAGGGCTTGCTCAGGCCCAGCTGTCACTGCCTAACGAGCATGACCACTGTCGCTTGTTTCAGGTCCTTCTCAAGAAGGGAGAGTCCGCCACCCCCCAAGACCTTGCAGAGCCCCTCCTGTGCTGCACCTCAATTCAGGTAAGGCAGCCGCTACACTAGCGAGGCAGACTGGCAGAGGGGGGATGACGAGCACTGAGGGGGCCAGGAGTTCCAATGGTCATTTGATTTCAGGTATGTGTGGTGGTTTTTATCTCCCCTTTCATGAGATTATCACAGCAGTCAATACCTTTCGCCAAGAGGCAAATTAATTTCACAACCAAATGCTTTCACTGACATCATTTCCACGGGAAACAACAAATGGTAGGTTGTTACTGATGGCTTTTACTTACTCGTTCATCAGTCTTCAAAGCAATACCTCAGGAATGCCTGTCCTGTCGTGGTGTTAGGACCCCCATCTCCTGCGGGAGGAGCACACGGGCAGCGCGTCCTACTGACAGGAGACGCGAGGAACCTTCTTTCCAGCCACGAGACGCCAGTGTTTTACTCAGAGCCCTTCCTTCATGCCGACATTAAATGTGGGTGATAAGTTCAGTGCTGTCAGCAGCTAATGCCAGGGCCAGTGTTTCTCACAGGTGGCTATGGCAACCCACTCCCCTCCTCCCTCTGCAGGAACAGGGTGCAGCTGGGAAGGTGAACAATGACTGTCAGCATGAACTTTAACATTCATTTAGTTTTTGATGGGGGAGGGCTCCGGAGGTGGGGGACAGAGGCAGTTCTGCCAAGTCTCTGATAAGATGCGCCTGGCAACATAGGCAAGCCGGTCAGGGAGCTATGGGTGTGGTATTGAGGCACTTTCAAAGGAATCTAGGCCCAAAGCTCTACATTACAAAAAAAAAAAGTTTTAAAACTCCCATTGTAATGTAACTGAAGAACAGCTTCGAAAACAGAACTATTAGATAAACTGCCAGAGAGGGGTCAAACAGGCAGTCAAATGTTAAATTTTGCAAGATCATTTTTTACTTTAAAGATAAAAAAATCAGGATTATCAGAAATCTTTAAGAAAAAATGAAGCTGCATGGCAACATAAAAGCTTTGCAGTTAAGGACAGAGTCAACAAATTCAAAAGCAACACAGTGGTTTGTGGGTCTTAGGCCTTCCTATGAACAAGCAACTTGGTTATTCCTACACTAGTTTCTGGCTAGTTTGGAAATCAGACAAGGACAAAACAGGCTGCTCAGGGCTGCTAGCTATAGGCTGGCCAAAGCTTTGACGGGTATTACACGCAGGTTCTCCATGAACTGGGCATCTGGATACACATATGAAGCTTCAGAAATGTGGCATCACAGATACCAAACGAAGCCAAGGACAGTTTCTTGTTCCTTTTGGCCTCTACTTTTTTTTTTTTTTATTACAAAGCCAGATATACAGAGAGGAGAGACAGAGAGGAAGATCTTCCGTCCGATGATTCACTCCCCAAGTGAGCCGCAACGGCCGATACTATGCCGATCCGAAGCCAGGAGCCTCTTCCGGGTCTCCCACGCGGGTGCAGGGTCCCAAAGCCTTGGGCCGTCCTCGACTGCCCTCCCAGGCCACAGGCAGGGAGCTGGAAGGGAAGCAGGGAAGCGGGGCTGCCGGGATTAGAACCAGCGCCCATATGGGATCCTGGGCGTGCAAGGCGAGGACTTAACCACTTGCACCACCGCGCCGGGCCCTGGCCTCTACTTTTAATAAGGGTTCATTTTGTGCTTTGAGAATTCCACAGGATTAGGTGTTTTAAAATTGGCAAATTACTTGGCATATTACAGATGCCCAAGTATCTGATGACCCAATATTGTTGCTCCCGCATTAGTGGTTCCTCTGCCAGTTAAGAAAGAGAAACCAAAGATGAATCGAACAAAGTGACAGCTTCCTTGGGCTGACACTCAGCAAGCCTTTCTGTCCCCTGGTGCTCCATCCCAGCCCTGCACACCACTCACAAATACCACACTGCCCTGTGCTCTCCTCCTGCCTCACACCTGCCCTGAGCTCAACCCACCTCCATCAAGATTCAAGAACGCCCTCTAATATCCCAGTTCACTGAAGGGCCTCACCATGGCATGAGTGCCTCTTGGGTACAATCACACCAATCTGCACAAAGACATGCTGATGACAGTTCAACATATGGCAAGGGCAGCCAAAAATACACACAAGTTCCACAATGAATCATTCAGTTACAAAAACAGCAGAGGAAAATTGTTTTGTTACCCTTTATGCTAAGACTTAACTGTAGGAGGGGCTAGATAAATATTCAGTTTGCTGGTGCACTTGCCCAGATGGCTACAACAGCCAGGTCCGGGCCAGGCAGAAGCCATGAACTTCTCTGGGTTTCCCATACAGGTGGCAGGAACCAAACAACTGGGCCACCACCTCCTTTCCCAGACCATTAGCAAGCAGCTGGATCAAAGTCAAGCAGTGGGGACACAAACGAGTACCCTTACGATATGGTGGCATCCTAGGGGCCAACCTTACCTGATAAGCAGGGACACTGGCCCCAAGTTCTTAAAAAATAACAGAACCGGCCAGCATTGAGGTAGAGGGTAAAGCCATCAACTGCAATGCCAGCATGGCATGGGCGCCAGTTCATGTGCCAGCAGCTCTAATGACCTAGGAAAGCAGCGAACACAGTCCAAGGGTATGGGCCCTGCCACTCACACGAACGACCCTCCCAACTATTGCGGCCATCTAAGGAATGAACCGGAAGATAGAAGAGCTGCCTCTTAGCCTTTCTGAGATAAATGACAGATCTCAAAAAGACAGGCAGCTTCATGTTAGTTTACATACCCCAGAGACAGGAGAAAACACAGCAGTGTGGCTTCTGCAAGAAAGGTCTGCACCAGCCGGCTTCAAGTACCACTGGTTTCTGATTGTGGTGTCCTACAAAAGGTCATTAAAAAGGCCTCAAAAACATTTTAAGTTTGAAATGCTCTTCGGTCTATCTTGTTTGAGGATCTAAACAATTTTCAAACCAATCTGGAATATACTATTGCAAAATACACAGCAAAAAGGAATTAACAATATTTTTTGTGTGACTATGTGCTGACGGAGACAAACTCAGATTCTAAGGAGAAGGCAGGCCCTCCCCGGCAAGTTTTGTTCTGTTTTAAAGAACTAGCCCCAAATGCTGAGGGGATGGAAAATTCAAAGCTAACAAGTCACACAGTAAACTGGGCCAATCCTTTTCCTCACCATTATTCAACTCTTCCTCTGACATTACATTGATAACCTGAGCACCAATTTGCTATTTGTTTTTAACAGTGAGCAACTTGCAGTGTGTACATCTTGGGAACAGTGGAAGATCAAAAAACTTTTCTTATAACCTGAAACCTGCCACTCAATCCAAAAAGCACACAACCACCAATTTGCCCACCTGTGGGGGAAGACACTGTTCAGGGGAGCTGGCTTAGCAAATGTGGAATTCTCATTCTCCAGTCATCTTGCACGTCCTGGAAAAACCTTCTCACACATCGGAAGCCTGATGAGCCTGCATGCAAACACAGTACCGACAGAAAGCAGGCCTGGGTTGTGTTCCTTGGCCCTCACACAGCACTGGTGAGCACAGCAAGCAGGGCCCAAGCCCGTGCAAACTGTCTGCTTTCACTGCCTCAGTACTCCTGGCATAAGCATCAGTGATTCAAATCTAAGTCACACTGAACAGTTCTGAAGGGTCACTGGGTCAGGATGTGTCAGCTGGCTGGTGCAGGCTTGGCTTCCTGTTCAAGTGATGAACCTAAAAGGGGCTTTCATCAGACAGAACCGTACCTCCATATTCCAGCTTTAAATTTGAGAACCATGACAAGGCCTCAGGAACATGCTGCTGGCTCAGCACAGCCTCCTGTCTCTGCTGCTGAAGAGCAGCTGTCACACTATCAAGAGACCAGGCAGCATTTGTGCCTGGACCCGTCAGGCAGTAAGGTGCGGACCAAGCCCAGGCTCCAGTCCACCTGCATTTTCTGAATTCGCAGAGGTGAGCCATCTCAGAATGCCGATCTCGTCAGCTGGAAACACTACAAACCATGCATGTTCTGGCTCTCCCAGAACACCTGGCTTCAACAAAGCCCAGTGACAGGAGTGTTGACAGGAGGCACAGCGACACCCCAGCCTCACAGACACGCCGTGGACTTCCTCTGTCTCACAGAGATCCACCCCACTCGTGTGCTGGCAGCGAGACAGGAGGGGAAGCAGCACAGCACCTGCCTAATCCTTTTTTTTTCCAGGGGGCCTGAGAGTGGGTTGTGAGACCAAATGGGGTTTGCCTCACTGGAACCACAAAACTGAGCTCTATCCTGGCGAACAGGACACGCTAACGTAGTTAACAGACGCACCACCACGTGTACCTGGAGAGCATGTCTGGGGCCAGGAAGGCAGCCTGCACCGTAAGCAAGTATTATTTTCCTGCTGTAGGGCAAAGAAAGTTTCATACAACTTTTTTAAAAGTTCAGCTTTAATGACAAACATTTATTACACGAGTCTCTCTTCAAAATAAGATAGATGTAAATAAACAACTTCCCACAGGAGACACGGCAGTGCTCTTCAGTACACTGCGCTCATGGCACTGGGCCCATGGCTATGCCCCGTGATGTACATATTGAAGCAATAATGCAAGTCGGTGAGCCATTGCTCCTGCACGCTGCTACTCTTCAAGGCCTGCAGCAAAAGACAAGAGTTGTAGAACAATAGAAAAACCACTGTACTACTTGACAGTGCTTTTCACACCCAAACGCAATCTTTCTCTCAAAGCGCTGGCAACAGTATCCCCATGAATAGGCCATCACAGCGAGTCTCACAAAGGACAGCATCACAGGCGCCACACGGGCGGTGCGGGTCCCTCAGCAGATCCGCAAGCGCCTGGACTGCTGCGGAGCCTGCTCCGTGTGAACACACCAGGGACGGAGGAACTGTCCCCGGCAGCTACCCCTCCCCCGCCCCTCGCTGTGTCTAGGGTCTCACAATCTGCACTGACACCAACTGAGTCCACACGGCTGACTGACAAGCTCTGTCAAATCCCTTCTCTACAGGGTGGGTGCATTCTCCAATCTGGGAATAATCCCACTTCTCTTCTGTTACTTCCGAATTATTCCACTGCCACATCTATTATTTCTGAGGAAATTTAGAAAGTACCCACATTATTTGCACAGAAAAGCTCTACTGCTTCAAAGTATTACTCCACACCTCATCAAATAACCCGACACACCTGTACAACCAGTTCTTTCCTTACAAAGCAAAATTACCTAGGAATCCCAGACACCAAAGCTGACCCACAAAACACACGGCCAAGGGCAGAGAGCCGATCACCACACAAAGCCAGAGTTTATGATTTCCTCCTTTCTTTTTCCAATAAACTAACTAGAAACTGATCTACAGTTTACAATTGTCAAACATATTCCTTAATGATGTTTACATGCAGTGAGTATTCATAAATGTTAGTCACCATAAAAACTTCACTTGGATAGCCTTATTGGTTACCAAAACACAATGGCATACACAGAATGGGATTCCCACTGAGGAAAAGACTGAACCCGGAAGCAAGCAGGTCTGCTTGGCCACTGCAGCCGACAGCCAGCCAAAGTCTGCTTTGAGTCCAGGCAGGAATGATGCTGAGGCTTCCACCCCTTCCCTCTAAGCTGCTCGGTGCCAAGGTTTTATGACCGAATCTGCCAAAGACATTTTCTGGACTAAGCCAGTCAAGCACTGGACAGCAGGGTATGTCCTGAGAAACCATCACACTGGAATTAATGCCAGGTGTCATTCGATGTGCAGGAACTGCCATCTCCCGACAGCACCCTCACCCCCGTCCTGACCTAGGCACACACAGCCTCTGGTGCCATCCTTACTTACCGTGATGTTCTTGATGATCTGTTGCACCAGGATGGCATTGGTCAGCATGTGCGAGCGGAGGGGAGCGTGCTGCAGCAGCAGGCGGAGGAGCTGCCCCACCACGGGCAGCTCCTCGGGCCCCACCCTGTTCACCCGCAGGCTCTGCAGCATCAACCTGAGGACTCGAGGCAGGAGGGCCAGGATGGAGACGCAGGCCCCCCACAATTTGTCCCTATGGTAACAGAGACAGAAGCGAGGCGGTGAGATGACCCATTTCCATATTCCTTCAAACTTAAATGTCCTTTCAAGAAATAGTTTCTTCTTCTTTTTAAATAAAACACCATAAATCCTTTAAGAACTAGGTTTCATCAAAACTAAACAAATTTGGTGAAGAATTAGCTGCTCTCATCTATTTTATGGGTTCCAGGAAGCCTAGCAACCAGCACTTTTCCAGACTTCACAAGACATCCTTGAATCACCAGGGGGAGTAAACAGTTTCGCATCAAAACAAGTAGCAAGAGGCAGGCGCCTGACAGCAATTAGCAGGCCAGCTTCCTAAACTGAAGTACTTGGGTTCAAACCCCCCAGTTCTGGCTCAACTAGTTAAGTTCTTGCCACCCATAGGAGACCTGAACTGAATATCCAGCTCCCATATCTGGCTTCCTATTTGCTGTAGGTAATTGGAGAAGTGACCCAGCAGATGTTTAAGTGTTCCCTTGTGAACTTTAAAAAAATTGTTTTATTACTTTTTTAAAGATTTATTTATTTTTATTGCAAAGTCAGATACACAGAGAGGAGGAGAGATAGAAAGGAAGATCTTCCATCCAAGTGAGCGCAATGGCCAATGCTGCACTGATCCAAAGCCAGGATCCAGGAATTTCCTCCAGGTCTCCCAAGCGGGTGCAGGGTTCCAAGGCTTTAGGCTGTCCTTGACTACTTTTCCAGGCCACAAGTAGGGAGCTGGATGAGGAGCAGGGCTGCCAGAATTAGAACCAGCACTCATACTGGATCCTGGCATGTTCAAGGCAAGGACTTTAGCCGTTAGGCTAACACACTGGGCCCTATTTCATGTTTAATACTATTGCATAATTGAGAGGGATGCATGCCCATATGGGCCTCCAATTAGGGTGCAGAGGATCAAGGTATGGAGGAAGGTGGGTGGGTCAAACGTTTTGTTTTGGGTTTTTTTTCTGGTTTTTTTTTTTTCCTCCTGTGTGTGCAGCTCCTTGCTGTCAGACTATATCAGTACCCAGGGATGTAGCATCTGCCACTTGGGTAAAAGACAGTATTTTCCACTAGCAAAAAACACAACTGTGAAACTGCAAGCTTATAACCTGGACTCGGCCTCCTCAATGTAACAGAATTGGGTAGATTTGTAGAGAAAACAGCGTGATCACCAGAAGCCAAAGTGATTCCACCAAGTGGCTAAAAGAAGGGGCTATAGCCATACCTGGAGTTCACGGAATGCCAGAATCAATTCAAGGTTCAATAAGCATCACTCTCTTGGTATCTATTGCAGCAGATGCAAGATGTGTTTATGGTACAGATGGACGAACTTGTGGCTAGTTCAACCATGTTCTAGACACGCATCCATAAAATGCAGCGATTTCCATTTGGAGAGTCACTGACTTCTAAAAACTGTGACCCTGGTCTGTGGCAAACCCCTTTTTAAAGTCAGAGGTGGGGAACATCTGGCACTGGCCTGGCAAGACAGCTACAGGCAGGACAATAAATCCACAGCAACATTTTTAGGTTGATGATTTTGTATGGCCTGTGAATGTTGATGTTATGAGCATCCACTCTGGCAGGAAGAAAGCTCCCCACTCCTGTTCTAAGGGAGTATGACTACCTCTGGGTCCTTTCAACATCTGATAAACCTCCCTGGTCGCACACAGAACAACTACATTGTGGAGACTTCATTCACCTTGCTGACTGGTATAATGGCAGCCAGGCTGGGACAGTCAAGTGCAGGGAGAAAACTGACTGTAATACAGAGCTAATGAAAAGCTTACAGCATGAAGACTACTGGGACACTCACATCCCATACTGCAGTGCCAGGGACAAAGCCACACCTGATTCTAATCCAGCTCCTGCTAATGAATGCTGGGAACCAGCAGGGAATGCCCTAGTTCTCTGGTCCTTGAGACAAGATGGAGTTCCGGGCTCCTGGCTAAGGCTTATCCCAGCCTTGGCTGTTGTGAGCATCTGGAAGCACCCCAGAGAATGCAAAGTACCAACTTCTTTTTAACTCTACCTAAGAATAGAAATAAAAGATAGACAAAGCTGTTTTGGTTCCTAATTGACTTCTAATTCCCAGCATAGTAACTACAAGTTGCTCCCTGTAATGGTCTGTTATACACTTCTATCGCTTAATGGCTTGTTCTGAGAAAACCGGCAGACAATTTTGACTTTCATGGTGCAGGCCAGTCACCTGGCATGGTCTCCCAATACAACCAAGAAATGCAATGAATACAAGCTGTATGATTATATACTGTTTCACAGTGAATTGTTTACATTCAGAAGTGTGCTGCACTTGACTGTTAGGGTGATTCCAATGTCACTAAGTGACAGGGAATTTTCAGCTCCATTTTAATCTTATGGGACCACCAATGTGTGTGCATCCTGCCCTCCATCAGAAAGTCACGTAGGGCCCAGGATCGTGGCCTAGCAGGTGAAGTCTTCGCCTTGAACATGCCGGGATCCCATATGGGCACCAGTTCTAATCGCGGCGGCCCCACTTCCCATCCAGCTCCCTGCTTGTATCCCGGGAAAGCAGTTGAGGATGGCCCAAAGCCTTGGGATCCTGCACCCGCGTGGGAGACCCAGAGGAAGTTCCTGGATCCTGGCTTCAGATTGGTGCAACATCGGCTGTTGCGGTCACTTGGGGAGTGAATCATCGGATGGAGGATCTTCCTCTCTCTCTCCTCATCTCTCTATATCTGACTTTGTATTAAAAATAAATAAATCTTTAAATACACAAACTTTAACCCACCCAGCCTATGTTCATACTTAGACTATCACTTATCAGCTCTGTAACACTGAGCAAGTTACATAATTACATCATTCACCTTGTGTTAATCTAGGTGGTCAAATAATCATTAACATTAAAAAAAAAAAAAAGGCTTAAAAGCCAGATGGATGAAACTTCTAAGTGCCAGAAACCAAGAGAATTCACAGAAAAAGACAGAAGGCTAAATACCTGCTCCTGAGACAGGGCAGTGGGAGCAGATCATGAGTATCACACACGCTCAATGCTGTTCAGCCCAACCATATAGCCCAAGTATACTGTTGCTAAAAAACTAACAAAAACATCTGAAATCTCACATGAAAATATTTAGTAATGGGGTAATAGGATAAGTGACAGGAAATGTCAAACTGCAGTCTACACAGTTCTTAGAGAAATCTTTAAAAAATCCTTACAACTCCAAGAAGTTCCTTGCTATTTAACAACTCTTCATGACCTACAAGTCATGCTTCAAAAAATACCATCAAACCTATTATGTATGAACTTGACAAATGCATCTGCAGTAAAATAATGCTAACTTTTTTCTATATAGACTCTTGCTGGAAAAAAAAGTATGACAAATGAATATGTGATGACAGTTGAATGTAACAGACTACCACAAATCAGGGTTAAATAAATAAAGGTCACAAGCAAAATCCAGTCCACAGCCTATGTACTTATAAAGATCTAATGAAGCAGTCATACTATATGTCATCTTCCGCTACCTTCATAGCACTGCTGAGTAGCTATGACAAAATCTCATGGTTTGCAAAATCGAAAACATTCACTAATCCTTAACAACAAAAACTATGCTAATACCTAGTACCCAGAAATAAAAATGAATGGACCAGGCCAGGCAGGGCTATAACACCTCTGGGCCTCATGTGAGCTAGATAAGGGAAAAGCCAGGCTGGGCTGACTGTTTCTACTGGTGCAAGTACAAATCAGAGTGGATAAGGGTTGGGTGAGCGTTACCACAGCATCAGCTGGCAGAGGCTGGCACTGAGGTCTAATTCTGTCAAGTTAAACTGCAGAACCACCTGGTGAGTACATAATACGGGAGTGGAATGTTTGGAATGGCAAGACTGGCAGCAATTCAGAACTGTTGAACTATCCAAATCACTTGAGCAGGGCCCTTGGAGCATGCCCCACATCGGGGACTCGGGATGGACAGGAGGCTGGGTGGGGCTTCTCCCTGTACCTCCCCCCTTATCCCAGGCACCAAAACACAAAACAAAACAAAAAACAATAATAATAAAGTGGAAACAAAGGCTTTACAAACTTTCCTGTGTGCCCTAATCAACTATGTAAAGATTGTCAAAGTAAAATAATTAGAAAAAAAAATGGAACACAGCTAAATCAATCGATATGAAGGAATCACGTAATACTGAAAATCAAATCATTAAAGACTTACAATAAGATTCCTTTCACATAAAATTAAAATTTGTAAGTATACCAAAAATGATATGGTTCACAAATACACATAAAACCATTTCTTAAAGAAAAAAAAAAAAAAGCCCAGAAGGCTGCTCAGCAGCAAGACGAGGCGGGCTGGGGCAGGCAGAGGCAGCAGGAGGGCACGGGCAAGCTGTGGACACCGACCATCTTCTACTCCTGAATCCTAGGGGCGGGCCAAGTCTATGTTCAGCTTATGATACCTCTTCATATACACAGAAATCTCATATTATCAGTTTCTCTGATGTACTCTGATGGCATTCAAAGTTCAAAAGAGGCCAGAAAGGCACGCATCAGAATGCTAACAGCAGGTGACTGCATGGTTTTTATGGTTCTCCTCTTTGCTCACCTGGTAAAGAAAATCCTCCTAATTAGCCAAAAAGCTCCAACCTAAGTCTTGCATATGAACCAAAGTACTAATGAAGTACACTACATGTTAGAATAATTCCACTAAATCTGTGAATTTAAAATTCTACTCTAGCTAGATATAATGAATCCCAAAACAAAACACATTGCAGCCCACATTCTGTAAGGAAGTTTTTCTATTGCCAGACATATAGCAATGCTACTAAAGGAAAACTCAAACTTTTACGATGGCATCTAAATTTTCAAATTTCTAGCTTACCATAAAAACAAATTCATAAAGAGAAAACCCTCACTGTAACACAAAGCGACTCCATAAAGGAACAAAGAGAGAGTTAGCTAGGTTTACATAAACTATCTGAAAGAGAATTTAAGATATACCTAAAACTGAGTGCTCTTACTCCTTATTTATTGAGGGAGAGGCAGGAAAAATCAAAATTGAAAAATAAAACTATCATTACCTCTTCCTTAGATGCTCTGCTTCTCCCTTCTCCAGAGTGAGCAGAAAATAAAGAAGACTGTAGCAGCAAGAGGCCAGAAATGGCAACAGCGTCTCACTCACTACACAGGTATGATCCAGGAGCTTACAGATAACCCCGAAAACACAGCCGGCCGTGCTGTCAGGGATCACGGTCAAGCCAACCTGGACAGAAAAAAGGGAGATTAATTATCCCTTCACAACAGCCATCGCCTAAAAACTGAAACTCAGTCACTGGACAATTACCATTGCATCACTTTACTTAAAACAATTTTTACACATACAATATGCCACCTGCCACACATTAAGGTTCTGTTTTCCTCTGAGAACTTCATCTCCAAATTAAATGACTTTGAAAGCACGCAAAATTTGAAAGCATGCATTAGCCCAAATCACCACCCCCTTTACAACAAAATCTCCTCAAACTTCCCATAAGTTATGATTTATAATGATGGTAGGACATAGCAGTGTTTCATACATGCAAAGAAAACCATGATGCCAACAACCACGCTTAACATTTTAGATTATTCAGACTAGAAAACTCTGGTATCTTGTACTGGCTCCATTCCTAGTAACTAAATATACAGAGTTCATTTTACCATTTAGATTTCCTCTGCCATTTGATTTAGCCAGTCATTCAGACCCAAGTCAGGAAACCACCTCCACACATAAGACACTACTGTATCTGACGTCTGAGCAGTACACTATGAGGAAAGCCTGGAAGGCCAGATAATGGTTAATACACAACAATGATTCTCTTCTAGACCCAATTGCATGCGCTGCCATTAAGGCAGAGTCTAGAAACTTATATACACAATGTGAGTCTTCTGAAAATTGCTATTACCCTCAAGAAAAAAGTTTATGTACTTTGAGATCTTAACTTCCTACATTAAGCTGTTTGAAAATAATGGCCAAAATGGACTGGCATGTTCTTCTTTTACTAGACTAATGAATGTATTCACAGGAAAGCAGAAATCGCTGGAATGAAGGTACGTTTTAAAAAGTCAAAAAATAACAGGTGGGCATCTCTGGTGACACATAAGGTAAGGATAAGGAGTTTGACAGCAGGAAGGTAAAAGAGTACTAGAAATTTAAAGTGGTACTCTCTTCGAATCCAAGGGAAATAACCTTTTAAAAGGAAAGAGAGGCTTTGTATATGCCTATCAAATTAAGCAAGTGAATCCCTGGAATTTCATGGCCATTATACAAAGTCAAAGCATAAGCCTGTGATTCCAAAAACTGTACAGTGACAGCAAACTGTCTCGACAAATCAGCATCTGTGTGGAATTAATTTTTCTTTTTTAAGAGAAAATTAAAAGCAGTAACAGTGAGGCATAGGGTTGAACTAATCGAACCTGGAGACTGTTAAACCATCCACTGAGAACTTGGACTACAGTCTGGATGCTGCATTGGCCATATACGGATACCAGAAATGAATTACAAGATCATTTTAAGTCACATTATTTTAATGTTCATTTCACAGATACAGAAAGTTCCTGGGGAACGGTGTTCCTTGCAACATCAGCATCCCATATCAAAGTGTTTCAACTCCAACCACTCTCTGCTTTTGACCCAGCACCCGACTGCTGTGCTTGGGAAGGCAGCACATGAAGGCCCAAATCCTTGGGAGACCCAGATAAGAGTTGTGGGCTACTGACTTCGACCTGGCACAGGTCTAGCTATCATGGTCATTTGTGGAAGTGAACCCACAGGTGGAAGATTGCAGCAATAGCAAAGTCTGTCTCAACAAATCTAACTGCGGTTGGGGAATTTGGAAACAAAACAATTTTAAGGATATTTACCAAATGCTTACTGATGGCACTTTGCAGGATTTCAAAGCTCTGACTTCGGACAGGGATAACCAATAAACTATGACAAACTGCCTGTCAGAAAAGAAAATTGGTAACCAAATTAGGGCATTTATATCAGAAACAAGTTCAATGGATTTAAAAAGAAACGAAAAACAACAACAAAAAATCCAACCTGCCCTACAACTAGTAACAGAAAACAAAAACTGAACTTTAAGAACTTAAACAAGAGCTAATTTTCTGAACATCCATTCATTCTACATTTACTGAATATGAAGTCAGCTTAGCCACTATGCGTAGAAATAAAGGAATGAAAAACTGCACTCACACTCAGAGTAGCTTACTTTATTACAATCACTTAGGATTTCTATTGAGTGCTGTAATAGGAAAATCTGAATGACTCAAACAAAAGTAGAAATCTAGACCATAAAAAATACTGAAAGATATAGCAAATACTAACGCAGTTCAAGTACCTCTTTTGTAAAATGTTTAGAACCAGAAGTGTGTTTTTTTTCTGAGCATTTCATTTTTTGGATTTTCAGATTAGGGAAGTCCAATCTGATTCAATCATGTCCCTGGCTTCTATTTTCAAAGGAAAAATGGGGGTGATATGGGTGGGTGGGATAAAACATCTATAGAAAAGTTAAAAAAAAAAAAAGAGGAGATGAAAGTGAAATAATTAACACTTTATAACCAAAAAACAAAACAAAACAAACAAAAAACCGAAGGACAGCCAAGCCCTTTGCAGACATCAATCTTAACAAACTCCAGAATCTGATGGTATATTACCTAAAAGTTTATAGAAAAATCACATGCTACAAAGAATATACTCTGAGACAAACCAAGTGAAATTCAATCCTCAAGATTATTTTATATTAATAGTAATGAATTTTTACAAGTAGGAAAACTGAAAGAGCTGCACACATTTCTGCATAACATTTCTGTGTAAAAATATAGACTGGAAATCAAAAGCTTTAAAAAAATGTGATTTTTTTAAATCTTTCATAAGCAATAGTTTTTAAAAGCAAATGCCAGGCACAGTGCAATGGCCCAGTGGCTAAATTTGTGTCTTGGCTTCTCTGCTTCCCATCCAGCACCTGCTGGTGGCCTGGAAAAAGCAGTAGAGGATGGCTCAAGTGCTCTGACCCCAGCAGCCCATGGGGAGGACTCTATGAGGCTCCTGGTTTCCAGCTTTGGCCTAGCTCAGCCCACTGGGTAATCTGAGATGAGCAAATTAACTCCTGAAGAGGATAAATAAAACTTGGGAAACAAACAAAAAAACAAAAACCACCATTACCTCTGTCACATCCCAATGGTGCAAAAACTGATCCAAATCTGTAAGATAGAGAAGCACGGGGGAGAGCTGGGTCTGGATGACATGAGGAACTCCTCGGAGGCTCTGAAGCCAACTCAACTCCTCTTTCGAAAATCCTAATGCAAGTAACAAAAAAGGTCAATTAAAACAAATCATAATGCAGTGATATTCTTAATTCCTGAAAACAAAGATGACATGATTCTTGTTTCGGAGCTTCTGCATTTCGTGCAGTATTTCTTTAAAAACGGAAAGGCTAGCAATGAATGGCAGTTCATATTCATGTAATTATATACCTAACAGGTCTGACACAGCTCAATCTAAAATACTTCTGGATAAAGGGTTTGCCACTTTCACTTACAAAAAAGTGACAGTATAATCTTTCCAATGAGCAGTAAATATAAGCAGCAAATGAGCAACAGGGATAACATTATGGCACAGGTTAAGTTACCATTAGCAATGCTGGCATTCCAAAGGCATCCATTCCATACAGGTGCCAGTTTGTGTCCTGGATGCTCTACTTCTGATCCAACTCCCTGCTGACATCCAGGGAAAGCAGAGAAACTAGTTGGGGCCCTGCCAGCTCTGCAGGAGATCTAGCTCCTGGCTCTGGCTTGGCCCAGCCCTGGCTGTGGCAGCCATTTAGGGTGTGAGCCAGCAGATAAACAAATCTATCTTCAACTCTGCCTTTCAAACAGTATTTATAAAAAAGCAAGTGAGCAAATAAAAATGATTCATCACTCTTTCACTTGAAGGGTCCAGCGTGGTAGCCTAGTAGTTAAAGGCCTTGCCTTGCACACGCCAGGATCCTGTATGGGCTAAGATTCACATTCCGCCAGCCCTGCTTACCATCCAGCCCCCTGCTTGTGGCCTGGGAAAGCTGTTAAGGATGGTCCAAAGCCTTGGGACCCTGTATTCACGTGGGAGACCAGGAAGAAAGCTCCTGGCTCCTGGCTCCTGGCTCTGGATTGCCTCAGCTCTGGCTACTGCAGCCAATGGGAAATCATCGGATGGAAGATCTTTTCCTCTCTGTCCCTCCTCCTCTCTGTATATCTGACTTTCCAATAAAAATAAATCAATCTTTTTTAAAAAATGTATATGCCAAACAATACATATGCATGCTTCTACATTAACAGCCATTTCATGTTTTAGAACTTCTCTATTCCCCAATGTCTTTTAAATTTTGACAACACATACATATGCTGACTCCCTAACCATCCTACATACTTGCCTCTCCTATGGAGACCATTTTCCAGTTCCTCTCAGAATGATCAGAGCACCAGTGACAAGGCCAAACCCGAGCCAGCTGCTTGCAGTTCGCTTAGGTCCCTGTTCTCCTGAGCACAGACTAAGAGGCATCTGCTAGTCTGATAGCCACGGAACAACACTGGTTCTAAAGCAATTAAAGTTTTTAGCAGGTACCATTAAAATGTTAAAGTCCACCTACCTCAAATATGTACAGCCAAAAATACCACATAAACACGCATGGAGTTTACATTTAACTTCTAAAAATACCTTGCTAGATTCACTACAGTAACTCTCCAGTTCACTTTGCAAAAAAGATCTCCTAATCTCAAATTTTCAGAAAATCAAAGAAACTCATCACTATCCAAAGAAGAAAATGGCAAGTTGAAATAGCACAATAATTTAAAACAGGAGTAAATATATATTAATACATACTTTTAACATTCCCACTCCTTCCAACATTTCTTGAGGACAAATTAAGTGTAAAAAACATCAAATCAAAATTACCATACTATTCATAAGCCAAGTAAGTATCTTAAAGATGTTAAATAGCTATTCTGCCCATCTTTTTCTAAAACGTACAATGCGATTTTCTCTGGCTATCTAAGAAAGGTACCAAGTGACAGTCAAATAATCCTCAAGTTTCAGATTATCCTTATGAGAAGCTTCTAGGTGAATCATGTATCACCTTCTCTCAGGCACCTGACAATGCAGGATACAAGTATTACTTCAAAGATTCCCACTTATAAATCAGAATACAAATCATCCCAAGAGAGTAGACTATGTAATCATCCTCAAAACCCGGAGTCAGATTTGGCAGCCGATCCCAGAAAAACCATTGACTCACATTCCAAACTGGGAAGTAAACAGTTACCTGCAAGTGTGGAAAACAAGAAGCTGACATAGTTCACATCACTGATCAACCAGTCATTAACTTCACACTTCCATCCCGAAAATGATGATCTATAATAAATATTAGAACTATTACCAAAAGTGACCAAAACTTGACAGAATTAAAAACAGCACAGTAAGCTGATTTAATAGCTTTAAAAAATCCTGTTGTCTTAATATCATAGAAGAGGTTCAGTTATCATAAGTATTAGATGTTCTAGTATATGTATCTAACATTTGATTATGAAGTGTAACTGGGCACACATGTGCATGTGTGTGCTACAACATATTATCTCTACCTCACTTAAAAATCCAAAGTCCACAGAGCCAGGATGAAGTTTTACTTACTTAGGCAAACAAAACTTCTCTTAAAAGCCACTATAAGACACCCATGTGTTCCTATTCTTCTCACCAAGGTTTTAACTAAATCTAAATAAAAGTTAAGCAAACGTATTGACGAAAGGAATAACTGAATGTAAATTAGCTTCTCAATAAATGAGAATTATTTGATTTCTGCTGTGAGTTTAGCAACTCCGTTAAAACTCCTCCTTCTACAACACAAGCTGAGACCCCTACATTCCTACAACAGTGCCTGGGTGCAGCTTTGGCTCCACTCCAGATTGCAGCTTCCTATCAGCACACACCATGGGTGACAGCAGTGACGGCTCAAGTGGGTGGGTCCCTGCCACCCATGTGGAATGGGCTCCCATCCTTAGCCAAAATATCCCAACTTTTGATATTGTATTTTGAGGACACAGACCCTCAGTAGAAAGGAATGAAAAAGTGTGGTCAGAAAAATTCTAACATCCTCTTAAACCCAGTAAAACCAGGAAGCAGTGGTGCCATCTTGTGGCTAACATGAGTAACAAATCCATTTAAGAGCCTCGGACAAATGACAAGCAGTAGTATGTCATAATGTCTTTAAAACTGTACAGACCACATCCACCATCCAATGCAGGGGCCATGCCTCCGAGAGAACATGTTATTACTAACATTAAGGCTAAAGTGGTAAATCTGAATTGTCCCTGGAAGACCAGGTTATCTGTTCACTCAAAGCATAAGCCAAACATTCATTCGAAGCAATTTCTCTTTCCTTACAGGCTGATCTCACATTGCAGACAACCTTTCCATATTTACACTTTACATTCTTCCAATGCAGCTATTAGTAAACAAGGGCAGTAAACAAAGGCTATTGTATGTGTTGTTTATGGAACAGGATAGGGAAAAAGTCAAATTCGAAATAACTGTAAGCAGGTAATAAACAGAGAATGCAAGGCTAAACACAACTTTTTAAGCTAAGAGAAGATAAACAATTCCTGGTTAATGGGTTTTGCACACACAGAACACCCTGTACTTAGATGGGAGATAAAGAAAACATCAGAGGCTATTTTGGAAATAAAATCAAAAATACATTTGAAGGTGCCTAACATTAAACTCTAGACCTATGAGGAATGACAAAATAAATGGTAATGCCATTTCCCAAAAAAATTCAAACTCCCTTCTACATTCTTTTTAAAAAGATTACCCTAAATGGAAATATACCTACAGAGAGAATAACAAGATTATGCAATACTAAAAATATAAATTTTAACTTTAGGAAATTAAAAACACTTTCAAGTCTATAAACATTTTTAAATGTTTATTTATTATTTATGATTTGGAAGATCAACAGGGAGCCAGACACAGGTCCAGGTAGAGACTTTCCACCTGCTGTTCACTCTGCAGATGCTGCCAAAGGCTGGGTTCCAAGGTGGGAGCCTGGAATTCAATTCTGGTGCTGCCCAACAGGGACCCCGCCACCTGTGCATCCCCTGCGGCCTCCCAGGGTGTGTTAGCAAGAAACTGGAAGTGCATTAAATGCCAGCCACTCCTGGACTCTTAACTACAGTGTACTTTCAATGAAATGATCAAAGACCTTTATTTTTAGTACTTTCCTAATTTTCACAATTTCTCACTATAAAAATAAAAAGAGGACAGGACAAGGACTCAACTGACCGATACTTCTCCTTCAAGTGCCCGGATCTCATATGAATGCCAATTTGTCTCAGTTACTCCACTTCCCATGTTACACCAGTTCCCTACACCCATGTGGGAGACCCAGAAGTTCCTGGCTCCTAGCTTTAAATGGCTCATTTCCAACCACTGTGGCCACCTGCAGAGTGAACCAGCAGAGACAGAATCTCTTTTCCTCTCTCCTCTCTGTAAATTTGCCTTTCCAAAAAAAATTAACAAATAAGATGAGAGAGGGTCCAGCAGCGTGGCCTAGCAGCTAAAGTCTTCGCCTTGAACGTGCCTGGATCCCACATGGTCACCAGTTCTAATCCCGGCAGCTCCATTTCCCATCCAGCTCCATGCTTGTGGCCTGGGAAAGCAGCCCAAGACAGCCCAAAGCTTTGGGACTCTGCACCCGCATGGCAGACGCGGAAGAGGTTCCTGGTTTCCTGGCTTCGGATCGGTGCAGAACCGGCCACTGCGCTCACTTGGGGAGTGAACCATCGGCCGGACGGAAGATCTTCCTCTCTGTCTCTCCTCCTCTATGTATATCTGACTTTGTGATAAAAATAAAATAAATCTTTAAAAAAAAGATGAAAAGGGGGAGGAACGAGGGTGAAAGGAAGAACAAGGTAAGAACATGAGAGCTGGGTCAGCAGAAATCAGGACTTTCCTCCCGAAGCCCCACACAGGTGCAAGGACTTGAACTATCCTTTCCCTGCTGCCATTCATTAGCAGAGGGCTGGGTTGGAAGTAGAGTAGGTAGAAATGGATGCCAACGCTGCAGATAGCTTTTCTCACTACGCCACAGTGCCAAGCCCCAATATGCTCTTAAAAATGTATATATAAAATACATGAGGACCAACATTGTGATGGAGTAAGCTAAGCCTCTACCTATGAGGCTGGCATCCCCGATAAACACTAATTCGAGTCCCAGATGCTCCACTTTTGTTTCGGCTCCCTGCTAATACGCCTGGAAAAGCAGCTGAAGATGCCCAAGTGCTGCCACACAACATGGAAAACTGTTAAGAAATCCCTGCCTCCCAGTGAAAGAAGACCCATGTCCTCGGATCCTGAACCCCAGGGCAGACCTGGATGAAGCTCCTGGCTTCAGACCAGCTCAGCTCTGAACACTGTGTCCACTGGACAGAAGATCTTCCTAGCTCTACTCTATATAACTCTACCCTTAAACCCACACACACACAACACAGAGTGACTCCTTTATATAAATAAAAATGTTAAAAGTTAAAATATACAGGGCCAGCGCCATGGCATAGGTTAAAGCTCCAGCTGTGGACCAGCATCCCTTATGGGCACCTATTCAAGCCCCAACTGTTTCACTTCTGATCCAGCACCTTGCTTATCACCTGAGAAATCAGCAGAGGACGTCTCAAGTCCTTGGGGTCCTGTAGCCATCTGGGAGACCCATAAGAAGCTCCTGGCTCCTGACCAACCCAACTCCAGACACTGCAGCCTTTGGCAGAGTGCACCAGCAAATGGAAGATCTCTCTCCTTTACTAACTTATATATACATTTTAAAGGCAATACTTTCGCAAGCATCCTTGACAAAAGCTATTAGGTGTAAAGAAAAACTGCTATTGATAAAAATATTAAGTGCAACTTCCCAAGACAATCTCTTTCAAGCAATGTTCAAAAGGTGATTTTAACTGAAACTTACAGCTAAGAGATAGAGTGCCCTCTACTGGAAGTTAATAGACAAATTAATAGACCATTTAAATTCTCAAAAAATAAACACTTAAGTTTTTAAGTAAAATAAATGCTTCTATTACACAAAGTACAGTATTTTAATTTCCAAGCAGGAAAACCAATCAATGTTCAAAGCACTATAAAATATGTCCAAGTCCAATTTATATATTGAAGAAATAAACCCTAACAACATACTACACATGGCTCTTTTGCAAGAGAAAAGGTACTGTCAGTCATGAAGTGCAATTCTAGTGTCCAGAGTTCAGTATCTGTCATACACTATATAAGGACTGGAAAATACAAATCTATGGGAAGAATGAGCCATCCCTATTGCCCTGGAGCAGATCTGTAAAAGGGGACTAATCTTTAGCAAAGTTTTCAGTTATAATCTAAACTTTAGTTTCTGCCTAAAAGATCAGATTCTGCCCAAGAACTACTAACATAAATATTATTAAGTACTAAAACAGTATGAGTAATAATGGTGTTTGAGGATATTTCAACGCCAGCAATATGAAATAATTGCAAAACCTCTTAAGAAAAAACAGTACAATTACTGTGGAAAATGGCATGGTGGTTCCTCAGAAAAGTTAAACACAGAAACACCACTTCTGGACGCATAACCAACATAATCAAAAGTAAAGTCTTTCTTATACTACCATGTTCACAGAAGTATTACTTATAATCTTCCATCTATAATCTTCAAAAAGTAGAAGCAATTCAAATGTCCACCAACAGACAAACTGAAGAAAACAAAAGTTTAATGCCTGCATCTGAATTATATTTTTCAGCTTAAAAAGGAAAAAAGGGAATTACATTCCTTTTTTTTTTTTTTAAGATTTATTCTTTAAAAAAGAAGTGGAGGACAGGAAAAGAGGAAGAGAGAGGAAGATCTTCCATCCACTAGTTCACTCCCAAGTAGCCACAATGACCAGAGCTGAGCTAAACGGAAGCCAGAAGCTTCTGGGTCACCAGGAACGTGCAGACTCCAAAGACGTTGGCCCGTCCCCTGCTGCTTTTCCAGGCCACTAGCAGGGAGCTGGATGGAACGGAAGTTAAGCAGCTGGGACACCGTATGGGAAACCGGTGCATGCAAGGCAAGGACTTCAGCCACTAGGCTACTACACTGGGCCCAGGAATGACATTCTTACACATGGTACAACATAATGAAACACTATGCCAGGTGGAAAAAAGAGAAAAGGCAAAAAAACAAAAAATGCTGCACTGTGGCACAGAAGGCTAACACAGTCTGCAGTACCAGCATCCAATACGGACTCGGGTTCCAATCCCAGCTGCTCCACTTCCAATCCAACTCCCTGTTAATCTGCCTTGGAAATAGCTTTTGCCCATGTCACCTCCAGAGGGATTCCAGCAAGAACTTCCTGATTCCCAACTTCAACCTGACACACCTTAGCCCCTGTGGCAATTTTGGAGAGTAAACCAGCAGATCGGAGATCTGTCTGTCTGTCCTCTCTCTTAAGTAGCTACCCTGAGCTAGAGGAAGGAGTAAGGAATTCACAGCCTAATGAGTAAAATTTAAATTTGGGATTGTGAAAGAATTCTGGAGAATACCAATAACTACATGTTCCCAAAAAGTTAAAATGGAAATTTTTGTTATGCATATTATTAGATGAAAACAACATTTAAAGTGTCTCCTGCTCTCAATCCGCAAGCTTGTTTAACTCACCAGATAGATTAAATTCGGAGAATTCTGAAAGGAGGTCTAATTACACAGTTCCTCACCCAAAGATTTTAAGTGCAGTTCTCTCACCTGCCAATAACACTCACAACCTGCTTTTAGAAATGCAGTTTTATCATCAGTAAACAAGTAATTTGAAAATCGTACCCTAGTGAACTGATAACAGGATTCTGTCACTTTAAGAGTAAAAGAAAATGGTGGCAGCATATGATTTTAAAAGTTTTCTGCATTTTATAATTAACAATGAAAAGAAGGAAAAGGTTACCAACTTAAAAAACAGATCACTCAACTGTAATACCTCATATGCAGTATCCCAATAAGCATAGCAACCAAGCTTGAACTGAGTCTTCCCATAACACAGCAACGACTTAACCGAGAAAGCAGATCAGCAGGCAGACTGGGTAGAAAGTATATAAGCTGAACCAAATGTTGCTGAGACTCTGCAGGGAGAACCACCACCGTGCCTTCCTGTGGATCTAGGGACACAGGCAGACATTAAAGTTAACTATAAAAAGAGTCACACCACATATGCTTTATTTCAAGTAAATCAATATATTAATAGTTCTTTTCAAAAAGCACTCATGTTAGGCTTATTCAGTTATTTGCTTAAATAAAACAAAGAACACAAAAATTTAAACATTTAAAGCTGTAATAATTCACAAAATCTAATATCTTGTTAGAATAAACAGAATTCTATACAACAAAATACTATTTCAATGAAAAGAGAATTAAGCTAGTCCTTGCCACAATATGACACAGTAAAATGACTGTAAAATGGTGATTTTAATAGTATGCAAGTGCTACATCAGTAAATACAATTTGTACAGATGTACACATTATGTGTATTCCAATATGCCTGTTTTAAATATTAGTTCTATTTATAAAAAATATATGAAACTCATAATCGACATTCATTCTGATTAAGAAAAGTTACCTTGCTAAAGCCTCGAAGAAATGTTTTAAATAGCTGGTTAGTCCTAAATGTATGACTAGCAGATGGTTTCAAAGACAATTTACAAGTTTAAGTCTAACTACTCTAACTGATACTTCTAGTGAGAGTCTACTGCTTGATGGTGTTTTGCCAATGTAACCAAGGTACAACTGACCTAATATAAGCAAAATCTAAGGAGCTCCCATGGGGGCCTCATGTGCTCCCAGCCACGTCCACATGCCTTGGCGTGACACCTGGCTCTGGTCCGACTCCACCTGCCTGCCAAGGCAGAGCCTGAGGAGCCAGCCCCTAGGACAGTGCAAGAATTGGATTCCCACCACTCAAGTGTGGAAGACCTGGATTTTGTTCCTTGTTCCTGGTTTTAGGCTTAGCTGAAGTGAACCAGCAATGGGAGTGTTGGCTCTGTGTCTATTTCTGTATATGCCCTCTAAATAAACAAGCTTTACAAAGTACCAAAAATCAAAGATGTTCCCTTAAAACTTCGTTACTGAATCACAACAGATCAACAACTATCTACAGCATTAAACAAACTCACCATAGATTCGGAGAGCAGTCGCTTGTAAACTTTTTAGTAATTCCTTATTGGCTCGTGCTGCAGCAGTATGAATGATATCAATAAGCTGTGTAGAAAGCTCAGGGTTTCGGGAGCCAAGATGAGCAAGTTGCAACGGCAAACCAGCCAGCCAGCGTGATAACACTTTACTACGGTATCTTAGAAAGGCAAAAGGACAAAAGGGCAATTTTCAAAGACAAGGAAAATACACTTAAGCAAAAAAAAAAAAAAATCTGCCACAAAGTTACTAAGTATGTAGCAATAACACATTTATTCACAAACATCTGAAACCCTATGTCAGCATCACTTAAGCAGCAACAGCATTTTTCAGAGCTTTATCAACTAAATTCCAAGATCATATTATTTTAGACATTATCTAGATCTTTCTTTTACTTTAGAGTGCACAAATAATACTTCAATCTTTGAAAAGTATTCACCTTCCTTACTGCCAATCATGACGCCATAACAACAAATTAACACAAACATAACACAAACATTTTTGCTACCCCGACAGCTTAATGATTTAAACATGAACTTCATTGTCAAACTTGGGTCTCAGCTCTGCTACCAACTGGCTGCATATATGCCAACATGTTTAACACTAAGCTCTGATTCCTTCTATAAAATGGGAACAAGAGCTCCCACTTCATAGTACTATGAAAATTAACAAATTTAATTATGAAAAGCACCTGGCTTATAACAAAGGCCAGAATGTTTCCATCAATAAGTTTGTATATTCCACCCTAACAGCTTTCTGACTACACCAAGAAAATGTGACATTCACAGTAAAAGAAAAAAATTTCAACTCCTGGCAGTTTTACGCCTTGTGTTATCTCTCCTGTTGGCACCAAATTAACCTAGAAAACATTCTCATTTTTTATTAACCTCAGTTTTATCACACATGACATAGTATGGCATTAAGGGTTACTGATTCAATCTCCATAATATTTATGGGAAAGAAAAGAAAAATTCAGACTATCAGGCTTGTTCCAAGTGGGCAAGTTGCAACAATGATGTAAACGGGATTTTATCTGTTCAGAAACAGTATTCAAGTGCGCGGGCATTATTAGGTAGGCCTACTTATAAAATTACGTATCATTTTTAAAATGTTATCAGAAATTTTTTTAAAAAGTCTCCTCAAAGGATTTAACCACTACCAAAGAGCTTAGCAAGGGGAAGTTACTCAAACTAAGGAAAAAAACAAAACTTACCTGAATCTGTAAGATCGCAGTTCTTCCTTTTGATAAATTTTACTGAAAAACTTCAGCAATAGAGTCCGAACTGGAAGGAGAAGGCCCCTTTGCTGATACAAAGTATATACTGCCTTAATGAGTGTCTCTGTAGCCTCTGCGAATAGAAAGCAAACAGTTCTGATATAAACCAAGAGGTTTCTCTAACATTCCCAAATTCCTCTGAATGCACAGAAATTTACTTTGTTCTATGCCAAAGCATATCTCAGCCAAACTCATGACTATCAAAATCTTATAGGAACAGCCATCGACTAACACCATTGTCAAATCAACCACAAGATATGCTATACATTTTCTTAAGAGATAACAAACCTAAAGATGACAAAAACAGGGTAGCAGAAGGTGAATCAGATGAGTACCAAACAAGAAAGCTTTGAATTAATAAGTCAACCTAAAACTTGACAATGTAACCTAACCTCAAGGTAGAAGAAAGAAGAAAGGCAGAATTCATTTTATTTGGATCAAAAGAAAAGGTTTTCAATTTCTAGTCAAACCAGATTAGAAAGGAGTAGAAATATTTATCAATTTCTACCCACCGAGAAAGGGATATCCTGAGTCATAAACGATTTCAGTGTTCAACTGATTTGCTTCACAAATAATTAGGCTAACTATCTTTTGTGGTTTGAAAGTAATTACTTTAGCTGCAAGAAATGTTTGGAAGTCATTTCCGTGCTCGATGCTAAATAACATGCATTGAGTTCCTCTCTTAAATAAGGGACAAGGCAAATCACCTACCTCTGTTGGGTTGTATCTGCATTAACCTCCACGATACTCCAAGCAATCTGTTCAGTTGCTTACTATTTAGCCTAGAGCCATCTTCAAGGGTCTCTGTCACAAATTTCCTGATCATTTCTATCCAACTGGAATCTTTCTGCAAAGTTGAGGCATTTGCCAAGGAGACCATGATATCAGACAGTGTTAAATTCAGTAAGAGATGATCTACGTTATTGGAGAAAATCGTGCAATGCTTGATGCTAAAAACAAACAAAGACACACACACATCTATAAAGTGTTAAATCTACCATGCCTGCTTCACCTAGATCACTTAAAATAGTCTGTCAATGTCTATCAATGTGAAAAAAAAAAATTTCCTACCAGAATAAACTGCCAAAAAGATCACGTAGGCAAGTTTAGGCCACACTTCTGTAAACACACAATTCATGAAACCAAGCTTTTTAAGAAAGGCCTGATTTGAGTGCATAGTGTTTAGCTCATTACTCAAAGTGCTATCCACACAAAAAGTAAATGCCATTAATACCTGAGAATCTTAAAGACTCGTGGGAATCAGGGAGTGGGAGAGGCCTAGGAGGGAAATAGTGGGCTCCTCCCTTTTGGGTTACCACTTGCACGAGAGGGCACAAAAACCAGGACAGGGGCTGGGGTGGAATGAGGTGTGGGACAGACTGGACTACTGCTACACATACTGGCAAACCAGGGTAGGGGGTAGGCTGGGGGTTATTGTGGGTCACTCCAACTAGGCTGCAGTTCCCACTTGGGTATGCGAGGGCCAAGTATGTGCTGGGCAGAACCAGGCTGGACTGCAATACCCATTGGTTCCAGTGGAAATCGGGCCTGAAAACAGAGCCAACCCAGCAATCACACCACCATCTGAGGTGGTTGGACTGTGCTGGGCCCTATACTTGCTAGCACATACAAGAACCTGGTCTGGGAACACCTCAGACAAAGTTTCTTTGGAGATCCCCCCCAATCGAAATGCTGGACTCAGAACCCTAACCAAGAAAAGAGAGAAGACAGAACAGGTCAATCAACCATCTCAGCTATATGTTGGCAGCGAAATATGGGGCAAACAGAGACTCTATGATGGACTATGTCAATCAGTGGATTCTTCAAAGACGTCATCGTGCTTGGAGTGGCAAGATTGGCAGCGATTCATAACTGGTGAACTATCAAAACCAATTGAGCAAGAACCTCAGAGCATACCCTACATCTGGGACGTGGGGAGGGTGGGAAATTGGGTGGGCCTTCTCCCTTAAAACCCCCTTTAAACATGAAGGAAACAATATGGAAATAATAGTCTTACCCACTTTCCTATAGCCCTTGAACCTTTTTACCCTAATAAACTATGTAAAGATTGTCAAAAATATAACAATAATAATAATAATAAAAAGACTAGTGGGATAAGAAGACATGGAAACCCTAATACCTTTCAAGGTTTCTTTAAAGCAGGCATTTGTATTTGGAAGGACACTATAGTGGGCCCGGGCTTTGCATCTAACTAATCATCTGATCTAGCCACAATTTCCTCATGGGAGAAATAAGGATAAAGATAAGCACTGAACTGAAGTAATTTGTCTTTGTAACTTACATATTGTAATCAGTTCATTATACTTAAAGGCTTTTCTTCCAAAATTTGAAAATACCTCAAAATAATGCTTCAATTTAAAAACTTTGCAACTTAGATAGTACTCATTTCACACTATTTAAAAACAGAGTCCATATTTTTCATGTTTAAGAAAACATAAATCTGACTAAAATGTAAACATCTCTAACCAATTTTAAAAGGAAGAGTAAGCTTAAGATTAGCCTTCAGCAAAGACTTAATAGTGAAAAACACTACTACTATGAGAAATAAATTTGGCACTAGACACAAATGCTGAGACAGAATGACAAATATGCACAAAAGAGAAAATGGAATCAGATTACAAAGATTCAGAGGCATGGACGGTGCACTGGTTCAACTACCTAATCCTCCACTTTCAAGCGCAGGCAACTCATATGGAGGCCATTCCTGTCCCAGTTGCTTCACTTCCCACCCAGCTCCCTGTTAGTAACTTAGGAAAGCAGTAGAGAATGGCCCAAAGCCTTGGGAACCTGCATCCACGTAGGAAACATGGAAGAGGCTCCTGGCTCCTAACTTTGAATTGGCCCAGCTCCAGCAACTGCAGCCTTTGAGGAAGTGAACCAGCCAATGGATGATCTTCCTGTCTCTCCTTCTCTCTGTAAATTTGCCTTTCAATGAAAATAAATAAATCTTAAAAAACAAAAACAAAGATTCAGAGGCAAAGGAAATAAAATTACTTGTGAAGACAGGAAAGTAACAAGGTCTGCAAGCTTCTTCCAGATAAGCAAAGGGAAAAAAATGAGTTACAGACTTATAAACAAAATAGCAGTTATATAGTCATCATAGGAAGCCAGGCAAGGGCAAGAGATGGGGTCAGTGCTGTATGAACCAGAAATGGGCCATATAGGAAGGATAAAATAATTTATCTTGATTTGAAATTTGCTTGAGTTTTGGGATGCTAGAGAGGGTAGGCACCTGGCCCCTATATTAAATTGATAGGGATGATAAAGATAAGGGAGCAAAAAGATCCAGAAATACATTCTACCTTGGTTATGTTCAGCTTATCATAAACACAGGCAGATAACCAACATGGTACAATCTCACTAGAAGAAGCTGGAGCTTTGTTTCTAATTTACCCCACATGACCACTGTTAGTTACAAAGGAAGCTAGATAAGCTAGTTTTGACTTTGTGTGGCTGTGTCCAACTAAAACCAAGAGTTTGCTCATTAAGAAATAATGAAGTCAGTGGTAGACTTGCAAACATTTCTTGCCCATATATAGATTTCTCTTAAATTTATTTCAAACAGAATAATCTACTGTGATGTGGAAGTCCTCAGGGGATATCTGCACATCAGAGAGTTCATTTAGCTCTCCAATAATTTATGCAAACATTTCATCCATATTTGAGGGAGGCAGGTTTCTGGAGAAACTTAAAGTTCCAGCAGTGGTAGCATAGAGAATAGAAACAAATCTGTTTGCTATAAATAACTTTAAATCTCATATTTAATACTTTTAAAATCTCAAAAGCACTGAAGACCCAAGGCTTGCCAAAGATACACTGTGCCTACTTTATGCTGGACCCTTTTAGAAGTTTCTCTTCCAGGGTAAAAAAGGTGAACTGGAAGTATAAGCAACTTTCAGATAAAACCTAATCCCAATTCTATATTATCCCCAGTTGTTCTTCCCAATGAACACTCCAGCAAAGTTTTTTGGTACTTATTTGACAAACTTTTGCTGATGTCCAGTAATGGAAAGGCCAAAGACCTAAAACACTCAACACAAGTCTGAAACAAAACAGAGATGAAAGAATCATATTCCCCTATTTTAAGACTTACCTAATAAACTACAGTAATCAAGACAACATAGTACTAGTAAAAGACAAAAGTAAATTAATAGACCCCAAAATAGACCCAGAAAAATGCAGCCAGCTGAACTCTGACAAGGGAAAAAGGCATTTCAGTGGATAAAGTCTTCTTAACAAATGGTGAAATAACAATTGGACTGAATTCCAGAACTGAAAAATAAAAACAGAAAATACAATGGACTTACATACGACTAGAGTTAGACACAACCGGATACTATGAAAGATATACATTAAGCCAGCCTTGAGAGTAAAATGGGACTCATTCTTTAAAGACATTTCAAGATTCCAGATTTCATTTTCAGTCACTTCACTGAATTCCAAGGAAAATAAAAAGAAGACCCAAAATAAGCCCACAACTCAGCTTTGTTTGACAAGGGAAAAGGGCACTCTACTGGACACATTCATGCGAAACTGAAGAACAGGAAGAACTGAAGAACAGGAAGAACTTAAGGAAAAACCAAACAGCTGACTTTTTAAAAAGTATCAACAGAAAGCCAACTCAAAGTGACTTAACACAGCAATGGAAGCCAAGAGCCAGTCAGATGTTACTGTCACTGTGTTCAAACTGGAATATCACACTATGCAAAACATTCTTTAGAAATGGAGAAATGCAATTTTCAATGCAAAAAAAAAAAAAAAAAAAAAACCCCTCCATAAGATTCTAAATGCTCTCAGAATACTTAAAAAAAAAAGGGTAGGAAAACAAAGATGGTAATGGATTGAAGTTCTCCAGAATAATTTTGCTTGCAAACTCAAATTTTACCACTACCAACAGCGACCAGTTGTTTTCCTGGAACAGATAAACTTACTTTGTTCATTTTTATGAAGGTGCCTGCCAAACAACTAAGTCTGAATACCCACCACTGTCTTGCGTATGTTCCAAGACTCCTAGGAGATGCTTAAAATCAGAGACAGCATTGGACTCCATACATACTGCATTTTCCAATATATACATAAATATGATATAAAGTTTAATTTATAAATTAAGCATAGCAAGAGACTAACATTTAACAAAACACAACTACACTATACTGAGTTATGTGAATGTGGTATCTCTATCAAAATAGAAATTACTGTACTTTATCCAACTGTACATATATTTATTTACTACATAAACTGTTATGTTGATCCAGATCTTTTCTTTTAACTTCTTAGCTTAGATATTTCTCTCCAAAGCACAGGCAGCCTCCATTTTTCTGCAGATATACTGCAGGTCAATTTCCTTTTTGATTTCTGCTTAAATTCTTATTCCCTATGGCATTATTTTTCTTTAAGGTTTTCTATCCTCACATCCCCACAAACATCTGACAGTACATATGTGTTCAGTATAATCATTCATATATATATATTTTATGGACTTCATAGTTTAATAATACTGCTCACTTTAGAAACAAATAGTTTCAAAAGAAACTGTCACTACTGTAAACAGAAAAAAAGAATCTAATATAATTTGCAATAAATTCACATCCCAAACACCACCACTTACACCTTACTTGCTAAATCAACCAAAGCTCTCTATTCCCTTTGAAAGATTTTCCCAACAATGGAAAATCTACTAAAGTCACTAATTAGCTACTGCTCTCACAAGCTTATCTGTAGATGAAAGTCAAGGCATACCTTTATTCCAAGACATTCCACGTTTACTGGAATCTTGTAATAATCATCACACACCAATAATTATGAGCACAAAGTGTTCATACGAAACTGAATCCCAGTGACTTTTTAATAATGTCAAAACATCCTTTCTTTCAAGTACACAAAACAGTTGAGGGATGAGAACTGTGGCATAGCAAGCAATGTCACAGCCTGCAACATCAGCACCCCAGATGGGTAGTCGTGTCCCAGCTGCTCCACTTCCAATCCAGCTCCCTGCTAATGGCATAGGAAAAGCAGCAGAAGATGGCTCAAGTGCGTGGGACCCTGCCACCCCTGTGGGAAATCCTGGTGAAGTACCTGGTTCCAGCTTTCAATCTGCTTCAGCCCTACCCTTTGAGTAAGTAAATTAATGCTTGCTCTGAAATGTCATTTATCAAACACCACATTTTCTTTGAAGAATCAAATGTCAATTCTAACAGATGATGCACCTTAATGGGTTAGCAAGTTATGACTACAATTCATGATTAAGAACTTTATAACAAAAATAATCAGCACACTGACAGTGACTCTCAAGTTTTGCTTTCCCAAGCATGTTTTACTATTTATTGCTGCTGCACAACGCTATGGTGACAAAAGGTAAATACTATACATCGAACAAATTCAGTGTCAATTTTTTTTATTACCAAAGCTTACGGGGGGTTTCAAGTGTTTGAGATTTTTTTAAATTACTATTCAACAAAAGTACTGTCTATCGTCTCTTTCTCTGAAACAGCCTGAAAGAAAGAGACCAGAAATCTGTGTAAGGAAAGCAGGGCACTGGCTTCTTGGTCCTGTCTCTGCTTCTTTGCTCAGGCTATCAGCAGATTAGTCTGTGAAGAAACAGGATCAGCATCTCCTCACTCCTAAGAAACACCAGCAAATCCAAGCAGAGCCTCCCTGCAGAGCTCTGGTCCCAGTATGGTTTTATTTACTTATAAGCTGGAACAAAATCACTTAATAAGAAATACTTTCATATGCCTATATGGCCTTATTACTTCTGAGCACATCGTCTGAATCCTGCTCAAAGTCCTCAATGATTCTCTATCTATCTAGTTTCTTCCATAATGCAATACATGCATGCAGATACACACACACAGAATCTTTGGCAGACTATTTGTTATGCTGTAAACACTCAAATGATCCTTGCCAGAAAGATTCCCCATCCCAATTTTCCCATTTATCTATTCACTTGAAAATACACACTTTAAAACGTCAGATATTATTTAAATATGTATTTTCTCTTTCTTTTTAAAGATTTATCTCTTTTTACTTGAAAGTCAGAGTTAGAGAGGGGAAACAAAAAGAGAGCTTCCTTCCACTGGTTCAAGTCCTAAATGGCTGCAATGACCAGAGCTGAGCTGGATTCAAAGCCAGGAGCTTCTTACAGGTCTCCCATGTAGCTACAAGGGCTCCAGGCCTCAGCTCATCTCGTCCATGTCATTAGCAGGCAGCTGAAATCAGAAGTACAGCAGCAGGGACTAGAACCAGTACCCCCATGGGATGCCAATGCCACCCACCTTAGCAACACTTCAGAAACTCACTTTTATGTGATTCGATGCATTTATAAAATGCAAATTGAGACAAAAAGGATGAAAAAAAATTAGTTCTAAGGCTTATGGTGACATTTTCAAGATCAACCACACTATTATTTTTTATGTTCGTAAAATTAGAAAACACCTCACAGTATCAAGTGTTACAAATTAGGGCTAATTAATCTCAAAGTTAAACAGCTTTCTGAATCTATACAGAATAATAAAATCACAATACCTTTTATTTGTCTCTTTCCTTCTGTTCTTGGTTATTTCTTTTAAGGCATATGGAAAATGACTCATAAAATGGTGTTTAAAATCGAGAAGATAGTTCTTTCGAAGCCATGATTCCTATTAAAATAAAAATCACAAAATCTCTAAGAATGATGTAAAATAACAAAACTATAAACAAAAAACGTACAGCTTGTAAATATTCAAACACAAGTGTCCCATTATAACTCACTTTGGGTCTATGATATGATACATAAATTTTATCATCAGAATAAACTATAATTTACATTCACAGACCCTACTGGCATTTAATAATTACTTTTACTTTACATTTTATCTGTTTGAGAAAAAAAGAATTTGGATTATTAATATAATATTCATAAAATATATAGTCTACTTGGTGTCAATCATACATAACTTTATTTCTCAACAGTTCCACTACTGAAGGCATTTTATGCTCTAACAAAGCAATGTGCTTCCCTGAAATGCCAAAGCACACACTGGTGAATTTATCACTTTCTTACTTTAAACAGTATCCAATTATTCCACATTATACCACTCTTACTTCCCCCTTGCAGGTTAAACAACCGGTTCATCTACCAGAAACTGTAGATCCCTTATAAAATCAGCCACCCTCCAGATCAATTGTTATTCCTCCTGAGTATCCCTTACTGGATTCTTTTTCCTAAACTCTAAATGTTAGGGTTTACCCACATCAAGCCTTTAAATAGATTCTACCCAAACTTTAGACTCTGTAAGTAAACACATACTTGACATCTCAGACTTCTAACTGGAATCTTAAACTCAGTATGAATAAAACCAAATTAGCTCCACTTGCAATCACTGTCATTTGGACTCTCTCAGTCACTACCAAAGCAATGAAAGATTATTGGCGGGACTGGTATTGTGGTGCAGCCCATTAAGCCACCATCTGCGATGCCAGCATCCAGTACAGGATCACTGGTTCAAGCCCCATGTGGTCCACTTTCAATCCACCTCCTTGCTAATGTCCCTGAGAAAGTAGAGGAAGATGTCTCCAGGATTTGGGGCCCTGCCATCTAATGGGAGACACAGATAGACCTCTGGACTCAACCTACCCCATCCCTAACCATCACAGCAACTTGGCGAATGAACCAGAAATCCAAAGTTCTCTGTTTCTTCCTCTCTGTCACTCTGCCTTCAAGTAAGTGATTAAAAACAGATTTATTTAAAAGGCAGAGTGAGAGAGGAAGAGGCTTTCCTTCTACCCACTCCTCAAATGGCTGCACAACCAGAGCCGGGCTAGTCCGAAGCTGCTTCCAGGTCTCCCACTTGGATGCAGGGATTCCCCAGCACGTTAAGACAGCACATGTTGGCCCAAGTGCTTGGGTACGTGCCACCCATGTGGCAAACTCAGATGAAGAACCAGGGTCTAGGTTAACCCTGGTCCAACCTCAGTTGTCATGGGCATTTATGGAATGAATCAGCAGATGAAAAATATTTTTATGCTGCCTTTCAAACATAGAAAGATCCTTCTTTTATTTTTCCTTTGCCTTTCAGATGAAAACACAGATGCTCCTTGACTTATGTACCACTAACTCCTTGAAATGTAAGCTCAAACTCTGATATCCTCAACCAATCAAACATCATAGCTTTGCCTAATCTACATAAATGGGTTCAGAATAGTTACATGAATTTACAGTTGGGCAAAATCACTGAAAGAACTCTATAAAATACTGAGTATCTCGTGCAATTTATTTAATCCCGTACTTAACATACCATTGTAAGTCAGAGACTGTGTGAAGAGCCTTTAAGATTAGATAACACACTTTCCAAGAGTCTGTATATATTGTTACTGTCACTAGTCTACATCACAAATTAATTGTCATATGGAAAGCCAGCTTGCATCCTCAACAATCACACATTCTATATCTAACCATGAATAACTTTCTTATCAATGTGCAAAATGAATCATAGGACAGAAAAGGCTAAAGACCGTCATGAAGACTATCTTGAAAAAGCAATTCAAAGGCCACTGTCAGGGGTGGGTTAACTGCCACCTGTTAACGCTGGTGTCCCATACAGGAACCAGTCAAAAGTCCCAGGTACTCCACTTCTGATTCATCTCCCTGCTAATATGCACCCGGGAGAGCAGCAGAAGTGCTTGGCCTCCTGTCACCCACATGTGAGAGCTCAATGAAGCTCCTGGTGTTCAGCCTGGCCTAGAACTGGATCTCACAGCCACTGGGGAGTGAACCAGAAGAAGGAAGACAGCCCTCTCTGTCTTTCCCTCTCTTTAATGCTGCCTTTTAAACAAAAAAATCTTTAAAAACATCATCTATCAGCAATTTAATCTTGCAGCATAAAAATTAAAACTTCATTTATATTTGTACAACAGAAGTATAAGAATCATGTACTACATTATCCATGAGATCTTCAGGATGGCCCAATTTTGCTAAACTTAGTCATGTTGGAAGAGACTAATAAGGAACTTAAAACTAAACAAACAAACAAAAAAAAGTCATTTACTTGAAAGGCAAAGTTGCAGATAGACTGGGAGAGGTCTTCTGTTTACTGGTTCACTCCCCAAAAGACCCCAATGGCCAGAGCTGGGCCAGCCTGGAGCTTCATCTGGGTCTCCCACATGGTACAGGGACTCAGGCACTTGGGCCATCTTCCACTGCTTTCCCAGGCAAATCAGCAGGGAAAAAAAATATCAGTACATAAATTTTTAAAAGCTTGGATACTTTTGGGAAAGCACACAACCAATTAGTAATAAACTGATTTCTAATATTCTCATCTGTAATAAAAGGCATTACTAAGAAAATAAAAAACCCATGTGTTCTCACCAATTTATGAGTTTCATCCTGCTCTTTAGACAGTTTCCACAAAAGGGAAATAATATTAAGGACTTGCTGCATAACTTGCAAAGGCTCTCGTTCTACACCACTTCCTACAGAAGCAGCTGGCTGTGGAGGCACTGCTTCAATCCAGCATTCAATCAGCAAAGGAATTATTATCTCAATAAATCCTTTCAGGCTTTCAGTAGATGACAGGCCTTCATCCACACCACCTACTCCTCCAACCAGATACCTAATAAGATAAAGATAACAAAGAAACTGATTAAAACCATTATACTCTGCTTAATTTAAATCTTAACACAAAATATCAGTAAAATGTACCATAAACAGATAATTACATTAAGTAAGACTAGCAAGAAAAATGAAATTCTAAGATGACAAAGCCAATAGATTATCAAGTTTTATATTGTATTAGGCTTTGCTGGAAATGAATAAATTAATGCTTTCAAACATCTCCTCCCATCAGTAAACCAAATCAAATCACTGTATGAAAACTAAGAAAGACAACCACTTGTCTTCCCACCATTAATCATCAATGGTCAGAAGTAATAATTCAATATAGGAAAACTGAGTGTGGACATAACTGAAATCCTTCTTACCGTAGCCTGAACTGTGAACTGACATTTGGCTGTGAACCCCCATTTTCATAAACCTGGATGTGTTGCTGGTCGTTGGCATGTTCCTTCCAGTTGATAAAAATGGAGTTGCTAGTGGCATGGGGATTTTCTTTTTGTTCCTGAAGTCCTTCACTTTCTCTCAACCTACTGGATCCATCTGCCAAGGCCTGAAGGAATTTACTGAGTCTCACTAAGACTTTCAGCCTCCATTGCTGAGAAGTGAGTCTCCGATTTGGATTTACAGAAAGTATCCAGGACTGGGATCTGTCTCTATTTACCAGTCCTTTGGACAGCTGCTGATGAGAGATAAGTTCTACGAAATTCTTAAGCAATATACTGCTACGGCCAGTAATTAAAGTTGGGTATTGTTCCAGCAGAATGTCCAAAACTTTTAAAGAGTCCTCCTGAATTCCTTCAGTAATGTGAGTCATGGCACTAGAGAGATGGGCACTTACCAAAGGAAAAAATGGAGAAATTTGTTCAGCTCGTATTTTGGGGGCCAGGAATTGAAGAAGCTGAACTGCTGCTAATCGCACATTAGCATCTTTATCTGTAAACACAGCAGTCACTTCACTTAATATGTTTGAAAGGTGTGCATCAATTATAAATGGGTACTGAGACAAAAGGTCTTTAAGTCCAAGAAGAGCACTTTGTTTAACCCCAGCATTGTAGTGATGCATCTGTGACAGCAAATCCTACAAATAAAATTAGATTTTTTTAGAGTCCACACATTTATACAATCATTTTCCAGCAGACATGCTAATTACAATTACATTAACAAATGGGCACTCATTGTGGAATCTGCTTCAAGACACATTTTTAGGGTCCAAAGCAAACAACTCGGTGGCTAAATCCATACCCATGCACCCACCAGGATCCTATATGGGTGGGGGTTCATGTCCCGGCTGCTCCACTTCCCATCCAGCTCCCTGCTTGTGGCCTGGAAAAGCAGCAGAGGACTGCTCAAAGAGGACGGCTTTAGTTTAGGCAATCTTTCATGGAGAAGATAGAATAGTTTCAATGTAATATGTGGGTAACTCCATACATCACCCATCAACAAGATACCCCAGGACTCTAGGCAAATCATTTACAAGATTTAAAACAACTTTTCAAAAAAGCATACCATCCTACATGACGTCAAAGAAAAAACATTTTCTTTTTAAGATTTATTTACTTGATAGCCATAGTTAGAGTGCAAGCATGCACGAATACATTCTTCCATTCACTGGTTCACTTTCCAAAATGCCCTAAATGGCAAGGGCTAGATCAGGCCAAAGCCAGGAGTCTGGAACTCCATCCAGGTCTTCCACACAAATGGCAGGAGCCCAAGGACTTGAACCACCATGCCCTGTTTTCCCAGATACATTCAAAGCAGACAGCTGGACCGGAAGCAGAGCAGCAATGAACTGAATCCATTGCACCACAATGCCAGCCCCCACAGAAAATCTCATTTTATATCAACATAAGACACGATTTACCTTTATGTTAAGTTTCCTATTATTTGTTGGAAGAGTTCCATCCTCTTTGAGTTGCTCAGGCAGATGTATAGTCTTTGTTTTAAAGTTTGTAGTAGTTGCATTTTCTAACCTGGGTTTCTTTTTACCAACTTTGAGTTTTACTTTTTGAAAATCATCTTGGCGTTTCCTTTTTTTGGTCATTCTTGAGTACTATAATGAGAAAAACTAATTTTAAGACAACAGCTAAAAGATAAGGACAAATGATAAAATAAACTAAATAAGGTTCCAGGCCCATACTGTACTATTTCCCAAAATTTACTCCATACATATCGAGGAACCTGGACCAACCGTGATTAAGCCAAAGGAGTTACTGATAGCCAGTACAAAACCACGGTTCAGTCTTGCAAGATTTCCTGTGCCACTGGAGTCCTCTGTCAAGCAATGTAACAAATGGTAACCCTCTGAAGTAATTTCCCCTCTGTAAGAAGACAGCAAAGATTGGCTCAAGATATACTTTGTTATCTGCTGACCCTAGAAGTGACAGAGGATGCTTTAGCAAAACAAAGGCTGAAAACCAATGCTACTATTTAATGCAGCCTATAATGACCAGGCCAAGTTTCATGAGCTTTCCCTGAAAACTGAAGATTTGGATATGCAGCAAGAGAGTAGTGGGCATTTCACAAGCAATGAAAACAAAGATCAGGAGTAAGATAAACCTGGTATAAGCAAAATGAAGATACCAAAATTAGGAACACCCAATGAAGTTCAGGCTAAACCTAAGTAGAAAATTTACTACCACAAAGAAAAACTAAAAAAGCAGAAAAGGGAATATGTGACAGAAGGATAAGGAACAAAAACTAAGCTACTGTTACAATAAATAAGCACAGCCATATCATCTTCCACCACCTCTTCTTCACTACATTTTTTTAACTACATTCATGTCTTTCTATTTACAAGCAAAATTTTTTTATCAATGCCTCCCTCCTATTTCTACTTTAGACTGCTTACTATCCTCCCCACTGGTATTCTTGACCTGCTTCTAGTGTTCAGTGTTTCATTAGCCACACTCAGAGCATTCCCCCTAAAGACCCATCTGGGGGGCAGGGGATGGCGTTTGGTCTAGCAGCTGGGACACCTGTGTCTCAGGTGGGAGTGCCTGTGCTCCTCAGCAGCCTGTGGCTCCAGATCCCTGTCCTCTGCCAAGGTAGCCTCTGGGATGACAGCAATGATGTTCCACTAGCTGTTCCCTACCAATCCCGTGGGAGGCCTGGATTGAGCTCCCTGTGCTTTGCCACATTGGGACTCAGTTTGGGTGGTTGAGCGTTTGGGGAGTGAACTGGCAGCAGACAGACCCCACCAAGGCTCAGGAGCTTTCTGCTGTTCCTATTCCTGGTAAGTTCTTCCCAAATGCCCCACCCATCCTCTCCAGCTTCACCTTCCCACAATCCAGCCTCTATCAGAAAGGCAACCTCCATACCTAGAACCACTTGAACACTCCTTAAACAGCCTTTCCTACACTCAAGAAACAATGAGTTTTGCTTCCAATGTACACAAGCAAAATTGTACACTCAATGTACACTCACTTGAATAGGTAAATGTTCTGGACAGAATAAAACTAGTCTTGGTATATATTATCCCATGTATATTATTCCATGCCTATGCTATAGAAAGTTATACTGCTATATATGGGGATACAAAAATTGGTGGGAAGTGTGGTACAAATAAATGGTTGGTACAAACTGCACAGCTCAAACTCCAGCCGCCAGCTTCCAAGAATCCAGAAGCCAACCAACTACACTATTAGATTCAAATTCACCTGATCACAAGGTTTTCCCTCAACAGATCTCCATGAAATTAGATGTGGCTGCAGACTGATTTTTTTTTACGAGATTCTGCCTCTTTGTTTTTATGATATCCCACTTCATATTCCAACCAGGGATATTCAACACTTACATCATGAAATGGGCCAAGTGTGCTCACACTCGTACCCACACTGTTAAACAAAGTATAAGCACAAAGACGTGATCCAGTCTCAAGCAGCACACAGGAGGCAGAGTACCAGACCGTGAGAAGGCAGTCCTGCAGGGATGCAGTTCAAGTCAGTCCTTCACCAAGTTGTAGCGGGGTTAACACACAGCTGAGCTTGGCAAAACCGGCAATACGTACTAAATACTGCAACGAGGCCTGGGAAACCTCATGGCAAACAGGCTTGCCTTATTTCACTTCTCCAAATGTCAAATCCTCATCTTACATACTCCTATAGTTACCCAACTCCAAAAAAGGCAAGGCCAACAAAGAAAGCACTGATACCCCATCTGGATTTTATTTTTTTAAACATCAGTTTTCAGCAATTGGGCAATGATACTCTTACAGCTTTTTCTACACTTACTAATAGGTGCCAGATACATACTAAAGGTATTCAGGAAAAAAATCCTGAGCAAGCTGTCCATCATTTCTTAATCTACCAAAATTAAGACAGTAAATTGCCACTCACTGACTTGTATTTTAAAACTAAGGTTTATTTTCATGGTACACAAAGAACATCTTTATGATTGTAAATTTTAAAGTTCTACAAATAATTCCTGCTGTTTTTACTTAAGGACTCTCACAGCACAACCACACACTTTTACTATACCATTTTTACTTGAGCCACTTTTGAACAGAAGATGGGGACCTGACCTTGCTCTCCCGGTTAATAACTCCAAAGTTCCACAGGTTAATTTAATAGACATCTTTTCCACTAAATTCAACAAGAAGCAGATTCTCCTATCTTGGGTTTTCAACTGAACTCTATCCCAACTACTTTGCTCGCTCCTCCTTCCAAACTTCCTCTGCACCCTCGTCCCCAGTCAAGCAAAGCAAGCACACTGGCCCTGGGCCTTTGCTAATTTCCTCTCCAGCCTCGCGTTGCTCCGAACTCCCCTGAAGGGCCAGTGAGGGACACCAGACTTCCCAAAAAAAGCCAAAGCCCCAGGCAGGGCGACTCCGGGGACCTGGGGGCACGGTGGTCCCGTTCAGCCAGGTGGAGATCGCACAACCCATGAGTCTGCGAGACGAAGGGGCCAATTAGGGGAGGCTGCCCAGCCCCAGCCAGTTTTCGGCGCGACTTTCCAGAAATGAAGACCTCCCCCCGCCCCGGTGAGACTTAAGAAACCATTGCTCCTTCCACTCCAGGGCACAACGGGCCGGATCCCGGTGGGCGAAGTGGAGGGCCCGCGACACAACCCGGTCTCAAACTCTCGGGAGACCCGAAACCGCGCGAACCGGCCTTACTAGTCACCTGTAGGGCTCAGGACCCAGGTCCTGCAGCCGAGGGACGCCGCGGCCGGGAAGCCTGGGGCCGCACACACCCGCGCCGGAGCCGGCCCGCCAGCCAGGGCCGCACACCGGGACGCCACGATCCCGCGCGCCGTCCCGCGCCCCGGGAGGGCCTGGCCCGACTCACCCGAGGGCTCGGCAGCGAGCAGAGCCCGAACGAGGCGACCGAGGCGAAGAGTGCGCAGGCAGAAGCCCACAGGGCAGCGGCGTGGACCACTGGCCTCGGACTCCTATCTCCCGCAGCGTGTTTTCAAATCGCCTGGTCCTCACGCGGCCGCGTCTCCTTCCGCCGCCCGGAAATCAGGGCCCCTCCCCCGCCGCGCCGCGATCACGTGACCGCGGCCCGCAGCCGCGCGCAGCCAGGGGGCGGGGCCGGGGCGGGAGCGGTAGGCCCCGCCCCGCAATTGGCAGGTCCCGCCCCCCGGAAGCGCCCCCGAGCAGCCGGAGAGGCGTGGGACCGGAGCACAGGCCCCACCCCCGGGAGCACAGGCCCCGCCCCCGGAAGCCCCTCCCCGCGTGCAGGCCCGGGAGGGGAAGCGGAGCACTGGAGCTGCCCAGGACAAAAAAAAGCGTGTCCCTCACTTTGTGCCACCAGCACCTGTCAGGCCTGCATCTCGGGGGGTGTGGCACGGGTCAAAGGGAGTGAAGTGCACGCCTTTTTCTCCTCCCCTTAGGGCAGACTGCCCCATTCGGAGAAGAGTACCAAAGAGTTGAGCTAGATTGAAAAGGGTTAAAAAGTTTGAAACTACAAAGAGGATAAAATTCCTGAGGACACTGACCTATGCCAAGAAGGAGCAGATGAGAATTACTTATTCAAGGGTGAAAAGGAAATGCACCTAGTAGCTGGATCTAAATCCTAGTCCATCATTTTCCCTGATATTTCCATTTCTAAGCATGTACTTTCTGCTACTGAAATTAAGTGGGTCCCAGTCCCAAGTAAATTAAGCAAGAAATTAAATGCCTAGAGAAGAGATGAGAAAACAAGAGAAGTGAGCCTCTGGAATATAGCCTTGCCAAAGACTAACATGGTGGCATAGAAGTGCCACAGGACCAGAGTTCGTATCTCCGTTCCTATTTGTCTTCAGTTTAGCAAGTGTAAGACATGTTAGATTGACCTCCATACAACAGATGAAGAGTCCAAACAATACTGTAAGTCTCAGAGACCCAACCATCCAAACTGCAGCCTACTCTACAGTAGAAACTACATTCCCGCTCTATAATCAGGCATAAAGGAGTTCCAGAAACCTCTCTTCCTGGCAGCACAACCACAACACAACAATATGCCTAGGATTCACTTAGTACTAACATTTAGGAGTCAGTATTATGCAGCAAATGTGGCTGTGAGACTAGATCAGAAGAAATGTCTATTACCAGCCAGACATACACTGTAAAGTCTAGGCTCCTATTTAACGACTTATTCAAGATAGGCTTTGGTTATCTAAATATACTCTACAAGCTCTGCATGTTCAATACTAAACTCCTGATTTACTCCATGAAATCTACCCTCCTACAAATTTGTACTCTCCAAGAGCAAGTTCATCCTTGTGTTTATCAGAGCCTTACAATGGCTTCTTCTGTCACACCACCTCTAATCCAGTAGAAAATTCTCTTCCCTCTACCATCAAACACATCTTGACTCCCCCTACTTAACACCATCTTTCTCACTCCACTGTGATCCAGCCAATTTATTTTTGACTGAACCATACACTCGTCTATATTTACAGGGTACAATGTGACACATCAGTGTACAATGGGCAATGATCATATCAGGGTAATTGGCACATCCATTACCTCAAACATTTATCGTTTCTTTGTGTTGGAAACATTCAAAATCCTCAGTAGTACCACTTTGTACATAAACGTTTAGTTGTTACCATCCATAGTTTTCCTACTTAGTTCTAGAACATTACAAGTTCTTTCTCAGGGCTGGTGTGATGGCACAACTGGCTAATCCTCTGTCTGCAAGCATCACCATCCCATTTGGACACTGGTTCGTGTACCCCATCCAGCTCCTGCTTATGGCCTGGGAAAGCAGTAGAGGACGGTCCAGCGCCTCGGAACCCAGTACCCCACGTGAGAGAGCTCCTGACTTCCATATGGCTCAGCTCTGGCCATTGCAGAAAAACAAGCTATTTTTCCTTTGCAACTGTAACCCTGACTCATTAACCACTCTTTCTCCACCCCTACCTTATTTCAACACTCTGAACCTCTATTAAGCACAATTTTACCCATGCTGTACTTCCAATGTTCAACTTTTTAATGTTCCAAATATAAGTGAAAGCATCTCACACTTTTCTTCATTTGCCTTACTTGAAAGGTCTGCAATACTTGGCGCAGACTGTGAGCATTCCTCTTCTCATCCCCCCTTTTTCCATTGTGCTCCAGCCACACCTGCTTCATTGCCTTCCCCAAACACAGGCAATGCATGACTACTCTTGGAACATTGTGTTAGCATTTTCATTTGCCTGAAACACCATGAACTTCTTGGTTAACTCCCTCCCCTCTCATAAGTCTGCTAAAATACATTTTTTCCAGAGATCTACACTGACTGCTTCATTAAAATCACCACCTAGGAGTGTCACTGTGGCATAAAGGGTAAAGCTATTGCCTACAAAGCCAGCATTCCATGGAAGTGCCAGTGTGTGTCCCAGCTCTCCATTTGTAATCCACCTCCCTGCTAATGGCCTGGGAAAAGAAGCAGAGATGGTCTGCGTGCTTGGGCCACTGCCATTCATGTGGAAGAACCCGAGGTCCTGGCTGCTGGTTTCAGCTGGCCCAGCTCCAGCCATTACAGCCATCTGGGGAGGAAACCAGCAGAGAGCTGGATGAGAACTGGCCCCCTATGAATCCTGGCACATGCAAGGCAAGGACTTTAGCTGCTGAGCTACCACGCTGGGTCCACCCCCTAATTTTAAAACACTATGTGATCCAACAAAATGCTATGAAAAGGTTGCCGATCTGCTAACTCTAGTTTAACACTTAAAAAAAAAGTATGTACAAAAAAACCAGAAATCAACAAAAAGTAGGTATACAAAGACAGGTTTTATCCAGCTGTAAGTAGTAAACTCAGTACTAACAAGGGGTATTTGCTTAAAAGCTTTGGATGAATAATAAGCATATATGGCAGTTGTGTGGCACAAAGGATTGAGCCACCACTCAAGGCACTCCATCTAATATCAGAACATCTGCAATGAAGTCACACCTCCACTTGTTTTTAAAAGATTTATGTATTTTTATTGAAAAGGCAGAATTACAGAGAGAATGAGAGACAGAAAAAATCTTATATCCACTGGTTCATTCAAGTGGTTGTAACAGCCAAAGCTGAGCTGATCCAAAACCAGGAACCAGGGTCCTGTCTCCAGGTTTCCCATGTGGGTGCAGGGTCCCAAAGCTTTGAGCCATCCTTGACTGCTCTTCCAGGTCACAGGCAGGGAGCTGGCTAGGAAGTGGAGCAGCCAGGAATGAACTAGTGCCCGTATGGGATGCTAACACTTATAATGGGAGTATTAGCCAATTGAGCCATTGCACTGGCCCCAAACCCCCACTTTTGATTCAGTTTCTCACTAATGAACCTGGAGTTTAGTAGCTGATTTTACAAGTACTTAAGTATCTACCATCTGTATGGAATACTCTCTTCCAAAACTTTGTCCCACTAGCAATTCAAGCCAGTAAATTTGTTTGCTGGGGCTAGGTAACCAAAGTTTGATTATCAGGATGGCTCAGATAACAGCAGTTCATTGGCTCTCAGCACTGGAGAACTTAGTCTGAAACGAAGGTAGAGATGTTGGGGGAGGAGTTCTTTTCCTCTGAGGGAAATCTGTTCTCTGTGTTGGTAGCCTTTGACATTCCTTGCAACTGCTGTTTCTCTATGTCTTAGTATTATTATCTTCCTTCTAGTGCATGTCTGTGTCTAAATTTCCTGTTTTTAAAATGAGTACCAGTGATAATGGATCCTGGCTGCCCTAATGACCTCATTTTAACTTAATGGCCTATGTACTTACAAAAAAGTCACTTTCTGTGGTACAAGAAATTACAACTTCTACCCATTAGGAGGGGTGGGGGAGACACAAGTCAACCCATTATAGCTAGCAAGACTTAAGTCCATACATGTCTGTACTTCATTGCTGAAAAATTGTTACTTTTTAAAAAGATTTATTTATCTTTTATTGCGAAGTCAAAGGAGAGAAAAATTGCTCCTCTTTGTCTATGCTTAGAAGCATCAACAATTTCTTTTTGTCAAAGATTTTATTTATTTTTATTTGAAAGCAGATATACAGAATGGGAAGAGCCACCCAGATTTGGCCATTGCGGCCAAGTAGGGAGTGACTCAGCAGATGGAATACATTTATCTGCCCTTGTCTCTGCCTCTCCTTCTCTGTAATTCTGCTTTTCAAATCAATAAATAAATGGTTTAAAAAAATTTTTGAAAAGCACAAAAAGATACACATACAATTGTTTTTAAAGAATAAAACAAAAGGAAAAATAATGAAATATGAATAGACAAAAAATTTTAATGTCACCACATGCAAGTATTCTTTGGCAATACCAACAAATTCAACAGCATCACTTAAGGTCCATGCAGCAAAGAGAAATAATGTCTGTTTTGGTTTGTTTGTTTTGTTACAGAGAGATGCCAATTTTATTATAAACAATAAATTTTGAAATAAGCCAATCATTTTTTAACAAACAAAATTGAATGAAAATAATTGCTAACTAGGTGCTCAAGAAATAAAAAGGAATAAAGGAGGACACGAAGATGTCACACGGAAAAAAGAACAGAAAGTAGCTGCTACTGTGGAGTTGGGGGAACCAACGCAAGCAGTGGGGGAATATTTAAACTTGAAAGGGTAGAGATGGAACCTACCGAGGGAGGGGTCTGACCTCCAGTGTTGGGAAGAGGTGCAGTGTTTGTTGTCTCTGAGAGAGTACTTCCTAAAGAGTTAGGAAAACTGCAAACTAGAACCAACTGCTGCTCTGGAACCTCAGGTGATGCTGACAGGAACAAGGCATGATGAAGAATTAAGGGCAATCTGTCTTCCTCCTCTGTTCTCCCAATCTTCCTGTGCAGGCAGCCCATTAGCAGAAGCCAGCAGGGAGCCACCCACAAGGCAGAAACCTGGTTAGCCAGAGAGTGAATAAAGGGTATGTTGAGATTTAGATAAGCATCCCTTGAATTCACAAGAAGAACCAGAAATTGCCAGGTTAATATTCAAATCCCCATGGATGATCTAGCCCAACAATCTCAGCACCGAGGGTAGTTTTTATTTTTTTATTAATAAC